ATATTAATTATATTTTTACAAGAGAAAAAAAAAATCCAAAAAAAAGTAAACTATTTATTTTTTTTTTAAAAAAAAAAAAAAAAAAAAAAAAGAAAAAAAAAAAGCAAAATGCAAAGAAGCCAACCAAAGGTAAAAAAAAATAAAATATTTTTTTAACCTTTGGTTGGCTTCTTGAACATGATTCTGGTCATCAGGATGTTTCGAGATGAACCAGATGTGTAAAACCGCTGTTAGCATGTGTACACTCACGGTGCGTTTCAAGACGGCACGGGCAGATACAGGAAGTCTTTTTTTTTAAATTTATGACCAACTGTTCATCCTTGACAAAAGTTATGAGTCAAACAGTAAAATTACAGGTTTAAAAATAACCGTTTTGTTGCATAAATTAATGGATTACATAAGAAGAGGCTCTTCTGGACTGTTTAAAGAAAACATATTCTATGGTAAACATAAAATGTCATCCAGGAACCTGATTTTGAAACATACAAAAGACTACATTCGTTTAGTGATAAAAATTTATTTGTTTTCTGTGAGTAACTACAGTCGTAGTGTTCTCATACAGTTCATCAAACTGGTATATTTTTTATAAAAATTAAAGTAATTAAATCTACATACATCTAATACAAAAACAAAACAAAGAGTGAGTCCACCTCTGCTTTAATAGGCAGGGACATGAAGTGCTGCAACACCTTCTGGAAGAATTATCATATAATTAAAAATCTGTGCATTAAATAACAAAAAACAGACTCCAAACACACAAACCGGATGGTTGAAAACTGCAGAGGAAACACTCACACACACATACACACGCACACAAACGCCCCTGTGAGTTAGCAGAAAAAAAAAACATCTTTGGTGTCTGATTTTTAAGAGGAATCAGATTTCATTAAAAGGTTCAAACACAAACAGCTGGAATGTGACTTTCACCCAGAGTTTCTGCCGCCACACAGAGAGACTTCACAGCAATCCAATAAAACGTTTAATCTGCTCCTACATGATGCTTGGAGTCAGAAACTGGGAAATTCATGCTGAGGTTTGAGATTTTCCTGATTCATGAACAGTTTTTAAGGCCACAGGGGAAGAAAATTGTCCCACAGCATGACAGAGAAACTCTGAGTGTGACTCAGGGTGACGCTTTAAGGCTCACAGCAGGAGGCCAAACGTGACTGAAGCTTCATAAACCTGCAGCTGAAACACGAAGTGAAGATAAAGAGTGAAGCTGGATTGTCGGATATCAACAGGAGCAGCTGAGTTGCAGAAGATAAAGAACAAATGTGATGACTGCAGAACCTCGAGTTCAGACGGGGCTCAGAGCAGCTTTAAGGCACAGACATGGTGAAGTTCTCCTGACCCGAGTAAAGATGGCCGCCACACCTTCTTCAAATTAAACGAAAGTGGTGTCAAACGTTCTTCATTTGTGCTACCGTCATTTTAAAGATACTAAACGTTCGACTCCAATTATGTTTAATTGAAAGAAGGCGGGTGGCCATCTTCACTCTCTCCCGTCCTGCACTTGGATCAGACAAAAAGGTTAAACTTAAAGTGTTGGCAAACATGCTTTTCCTCATGCTTTGGAACGTTGTTTTCAAATCAAACTGGGACAAAGTGAGGCATTATGAATTAAACATGTACAGGTTAAAGTTCAGTGACATCACAGCTTCCATAAACGGACCAATCATATGAAAGCAAACTCCTGAGGCAGGAAGGAGCCTGTTGGAGGAACCTCCAGAGTCCATGTGAAAAAGATATTTGATGTTTTTAAATTGTGAATCTTGTAAAATGACAAACTTTTTATGGTTGATCTTCATGTGAAACGACAGGAAGTATCTGTGTGGTTATTTTGGAGGAGCTGTTGTTCACAGGAAGACAGTTCAACCCATGTGACCTCAGATGAGATGGGGCATCAGGTGGGCGGAGTCTAACACAGGAAGCTGCAGGGATGAACTCTTTGGTGCATTCACACCAACCCTGTATAGTCCACTTCAATCAACCTCTAGTTCACTTGTCTAGAAAGTCTGGTTTGTTTGGGGAGATGTGAATGTGAATCAAACTAAAAGGCGAACACTGGTCCGTCTACAAAGCTCGGTCTCGGTTTGGTTGAAGTGAACTCTGGTCCGGTTTGAATGAGGCCAAGCTTACTGGAGACAGCTACAAAGCAGGAAGCAGACTACAACGCAGGGCATTCTGGGTAAATACAACCAAAACAAAGGCAAGAGTTTACTGCTACTTGGAGAAATGGGTCATAGATTTTTTGTGGAAGACTGAAGAGAAATCCTACAACTGCTAAAATGTGATGCTGCTCCATTTGTTTATATTTCCTGAAGAAGGAAGCTGCACTCCTGTCTTCTTCAGAGGTTTTTGTGCCATTCCCTTCAGTAGTTATTGTTGCAGTGCCCCCACAGGCTGGGAGAGGAACAGCTTTTTAAATCATTTTGGTTTGTTTGACATGGTGAACTGCAACGTCTTAGAATGAAACAAATGTTGCCATTTTGGTCCCCAGTTGAACTGAGTCTACTTATCATGTGTGAAAACACCCTAAAACAGAGTGTTGAAGCAAAACATGGGAGCTTGTTTAGTGAAAAAGACATTTTGGTTTATAATATGGGAAAAAAGTTTCAGTTTTTTACGCTCTACTTCCTGTTGTAATCAGGCCCTTACCATCACCTGGAGCTTGATGTGCTTTAAGATCGTCACACTTCATCCGACCAATCAGAGCGAATCAGTTACAGCTCTGCACATGCTCAGATTAAGGTATGAGAAACTCCGCCCACCCGTACCTCCAACCCCCAACTGTTACTGTGGGTGAATTTTGTGACAGGCTGAGGAGCAGCAGGCCTCCGTAACGTCCAACAGGAATCGTTATTCTTCCTCCTCTTCCTCTTCCTCGTCCTCTCCAGCCATCACCTCCACCAGCAGATCTGCTGTGCACGTCGCCTCGCCCAGACTGTTGACGGCCTTCACCATGTACTTGGCATCGTCGTCACCTGAAACCTGCAGGTTAACACCAGAAAACAGTGAAAAACATGTAATCTTACCAAATATTTAATGGAAATATCCTAATACACTTTAAATAAAACTTCAAAAAAACTTGGTAAGATGTGATTTTGCAGTTAATAAATATAATTCATTTAAATATAGTAACATTATGTTCATAAACACTGTTGTGTTTTGTTACCACATAATTCATCATATTTTAGGCAGATTTTATGTGATGCAGCAACACAAAGTACAACAAAACTGCATAATGGAAGGAAAACTAAACTTTAAGTTGCAGAAAAGTTGAAGCAGGATTTCTGACTGACGCAGCAGCTTCAGTTTCCAGTTCGTTCAACCTAAAAGATGCAGCACCAGCTGAACTCTGACCTCTGAAATGATCAAACTGCAGTTTCCTTCTTCATCGTAGTCGATCTGGAAATGTCGGGTCTCTTTGATTGGCTGGTCGTCTTTGTACCAAACCACCTCAGGGTCAGGGTATCCTACAGCAGAAAGTTTATAGAGTTTAAGTCCATTTTTATTTGTATAAAATCAATCAATATGCTTCAAAAAGTTCCCTTTACTGTAAATTGTTAATAGAATCTTGTCTCTTTTCAATGTTTCACAGTTTCCACTTTAATAATCATCCTAAAGAATATAAATCTAGAAAATATCAGTGAATGTAAAACTGAAGCCTAAGAATATTTAACAGTGAACTGAATAACTTTAATAAAACACAGCCAGGTGTATGATCATCAGCTGATCAATGTGTGTATTGATCGGCTGTACCTTCTATCTTGCAGTCGAAGCGAGCGGCGCTGCCTTCCACCACCTCCACGTCTTTAATGACTGAACTGAAAGTGGGTTTACTCTCCGTCTTCTGTTCGTACTCCAAACACTCCAGGAACTGATTATCCTCTGAAAACGAAAAGATCAATTCTGTGGCTTAGAGGCAGTTTGTCTTGTTTTATATCAGTGTTTGTTGTTTTATGTCTGTTGTAATTTTGCCAACATTCAGGAATTTTGAACTTCTGATCTTCAGATTTTACACTGCAAAAACAAAATTCTACCAAGTATTTTTGGTCTGGTTTCTAGTGGAAATATCCTAATACACTTGAAATAAGACCAAACTAACCTGAAAGCAACTTTTTAAGCAAGATTTAGGAGGTTATTTTAAGTAAATGATTCCTTGATATTGATTTTTTTAAAGCACTAGTTCTACTGGCATGGCAGAGTTTTTCACTTATAAAATGAGAAAATGTCTTGTTATATGTTGAAAAATCTGCAAGTGGAACAAACACTTTTTTTTAGTAAATTTCTCTCTGTGATGAAATTTACAGGGATTCCTTCAATACATTTTACCCTTTGAAATTAGATGGTCAGCTGAACACGAGTCCTAGTGTTTGGTAATTAGAATTGGATGTAGAAAAACGACCCAGTTGGGTTCGGTACCTTCAGTGGGCGAGCCTTTCTTTGCACTAACTCCAGCCATCATGGCCATGGATGAGAGTCTGCCAATCGCTCGAACAGCGTGACCCGTTTTCTGTCAGAGAAGAAAAAACATCCGCGTTCGAACATGAAGATGACGATTTCTGCAGAAAATGTGTTAAACTTAAAGCCCGGCCCGCCATAGCTTTTTATGTGGGACACAAAAAAGGAACCTTCAAGGTAACAGTTGTGACTCAAACATTTTATCAATCAATCAAATCAAATCAGTTTTTATCTGTACACTTCTAAATTAAATCAATCAGTCCCTCCAGTTTGTCGCCATTTTGTAATTCTGGAACTTCACACAAAATCAACAACTCCCTGCATTTTTTGCACTAACGCATAATTTTGAGTTTATTGCCAATTTTCTGCAAAAATGGTAAAAACATTGGACTAAAGTGATGCTAATTCCCACCTGCAGGTGGCAGTATTTCTTACTTCTACTTACTTGATGTCAGGTTATCGTCTGATTGATACGAGTAACAAAAACTCAGACCTATTGTCATACACAAGTGCAAATATTGCTAAATTTGTAAGAAATAAACACAACAAAACCGTAATTTTGATTGGAAACAATCACAAAAATAAATGTGAAATCAGGAGCAGGGACTGATCGATCGTGAAAAGATGTTGAATATTATTGTTTATTGAATACAGATACAGCCGTTTATTGATATTTTAACAGTTTGCTAATGAGTTTTACTGATACATTCTGGTACAATCAGCCCTTGAAAACATTCATGATCTTGATGAAAATGACCTGAAGTGAAACTGAGTTTTCCAGTCCTGCTGTTAAACATGACTGATCCTCATGTTGTTGTTTACCTGCCACTTTCTCCTCAGGATGTATTTCTTCATCCTCTCCTTGGACAGCTTGGTGGTCTTCATGGTGTTGGTGTCCTGTTTCAGCCACGGGTGTTCAAAACACTGAGGGCAGGACAGCCGAGCCCTGAGGAGTCACACGCTTCACTGTAAACACTCAGAGTGGCTGCAAATATTTAGCTTTTACACTGTAGAAACTTCAGGGTTACTTCATGTCTTTTTTCAGCAGGTTGGTGATGAAGTCTTTGGCGTTTTCAGAGATTTCATCGAAGGCCTCGTCCTCAAAGTCCCAGGTTGCCGAGGTAACATTGGCCAGAGTCTCGTTGTCGTTGTCGCCCATGAAGGGAGAGAGACCGCTCAGCCTGAGGACAAACAGAAAGAAAACCTTAGCTAACGTTTAGCTAGCTGAGCCGGGGTTAACAGAGTGTCGTTTCCTCACAGGATGTAACAGATGACTCCTATACTCCACATGTCTGTCGGGTAACTGATGGCTTCATAATTTATCACTTCAGGAGCCACAAACTCTGGAGTCCCAAACAAAACCTTCAGAGTTCCAGCGTTTGCTGCGGGAGGACAAAAGACAAAAGTTAAATCATCACAGTTAGTAGAAGAAGAAGGAACAGGAAGAAGAACTGACAGAAACTAGTTAACAATTCGTGTTAGCAGCTGCATCTGTTTCCGTCAGAGATGTTCACGTCATTTTTTTCAATTCCAAATCCATTCTCAAGTCTTCATGGAAACAAGCGTGTTTTATTTATGTAAATAATTAAGGAAAAATTGTGTAGAAGGTCTGCCGGGCCAATTGGTGGCGCTATAACACTGGAAGAACAGCATCAAAAACACCTAACTGCAGTGTTGCTGCATAATTGGGCTTCTTTTGAACATGTTGGGCTGGAAAAAATGAGCTTGTGCAGGTTGATGATATTTCTACTACTTTTCACAACATTACTAGTTGCAGTTGTAATTGTGCAGCAGAGAAGCACAAAACATGTACATTTTAATAAATGCTGTGTTCCTGCACCAATTTTATTCATTTATTTTGAAAAGACTAGAATCTGTTGACATATTGTACAGCAAAAATCCCAGTACGAATTTATGATTTAAAATGGTGTCACAAAAATAAAATATAACAGGTGAATAAAACATAAATCTGATCGTGTTCAAAGAGTCCAATTCCTCTGCAGTCTGAAGGGGATCTGGTTTTAGTCAGAAACATACAAAACGTTTGGAATGGCAAAAATAAATTTGCTTAATGGAAACCTGTCAATATTGGAAAAACAACAAACATATTTTGATAAAAAGTTTTTGCGCTGAGGTGAATTTATGGCTGTTTCAATATTAGTGTACTTACTCTGCACAAAACTACAATGACACTTATTTTTACATCACACGACTCATGTGATAACTGGATGTTACTACAGGCAGAAAAGATGAAGAAGACAACAGGAAGTAGCTGGAGGATGATAGCGCGGTATGTTTTTAAATGACTTATTGCTCAAACAAACTTATTTACATCTGACTTTAATTGCGTTTCTTTTTAGAAACTGTGAAATTATGTTTTGTGACATTTGTAATGGAAACGCAGCTGGTTTTATTAATCTGAGTCTGGTTACCGAGCCGACGGGCGAGGCCGAAGTCGATGAGTTTGATCTGGCTGCCGGTTTTGTTGACACACATGATGTTCTCCGGTTTGAGGTCGAGGTGGACGATGCCCTGTTTGTGGATGAAGTTGACGCCGTCGATGATCTGCAGCATGTATTTAATCACCTCCCTCTCCGTCAGCTCAAAGTCCTCGTCGATGATCCGCTCAAACAGTTCGCCGCCAGAGATCCTGCAGACAGAGGAGACGCTAACAACTCAAACTGATCCCACTTAGTTACTCCACAACTTTAAGTGAAATAATCTGCCAGTCTAACAAGATATGTTTCTCATTTTTTAAGCCAGTATGTCTTATTTCACTTATTCCACTTACAGCTAGTATTATTTAATCGATTCTGATAAATAAATTCTCAGTATTATAATTCTTTCACTAATGACCCTCATGAACATATGGAGGATTTTCTCAAAATAAAAAACTAAGTTTGATTCTCTGGTGAAACTTGTTTGTTTGTCCCGTCGTCATGACGTTTGCTGCTGTTTCCATAGCGAAGCTGCAGACTGAAATGCTGCAGTCAGATAATCCAACTATAAACACGTCTCTTCCTGTTTGTGTTCCCGGTTTTCATCGTGTCAGCACTTATTTGTTGCTTCCGTTCTGATGTTTATTTATCAGAGTTAAAATTGAAAGCTAGATGTTGACTTGTTCCTCTTCGACATGAGAATTTCTTCTGAATGGAAATCAGCTGAAAGTTCAGCTGGAAAGCAGGAATGACTAAAGAAGAAATGATACGTTTTAGGGTGAGATGAGGTCGAACTGTGGCTCTAAAATTAGCAGACAGGAAATGTTTGCTCCTGAATTCCTCTCATAGCTGAGGAGGAAATTGTTTTCCAGTGTTTTTCACTGAAAAAACATTTTGTACTTGGAGAAAAAACAGCTGGGAGATCAGATCTGTGATATTCTGCTGCAGGTTGACATATGGGACAAAAATGAAAAACAAAATGTTTTCATTTTTTTCACCTACTCAGTAATAAGTAGGTATCCAGCTACAAAACTTTAATTAAGCCAGTAAAGAAGTCTGATTTTTTGATGGGAATGGATCTGTAAATTATTGCAGATCCAAAATGTAAAAATTATTTTTGCAGGTTTGCCTCAAAAAGAAAGGAAAGGAATCCAACTTTGGACATTTTTAAGGGGATCGACTGAAACTAATGTACGTTTCTTTTTGTCAGTTCTGAGCAATAAAAACAAGATTTAATTAAAAAATAAAACAAAACTAAATAAAAAGAAGGTCTGGGTGCATCACAAGTAAATACAAAACACTGCAAAAACTAAATCTTGTATTTTTTATCTAGTTTCTACTTCAACTAATCTAATCCACTTGAAATGACAACATTAACTTACAAGTAACTTTTCAACAAGGTATCAGTTTTAAGTCAATCATTCCTTATTTTGATTAAAAAAGTTATTCTCCTCTGGCAGATTTGTTCACTGCAACATGGGAAGAATGTCTTCTTACAAGTGAAATAATCCACTAGTGGAACTTGTCATTTTTAAATCTATACTAAAGAATTATTGACTTAAAACAAGCTTCAAAATATTGCAGAAAAGTTACTTATAAGTTAGTTTAATTTTGTTTTACGTACATCAGAAACTAGACTTGGTAAGATTTTATGTTTTTGCAGTGAAAGCTGATCTGGTTGCTGGATACTGAATACATTCTAGGCAGGATTTTCTGATGTGATATTTTAATTTGTCTGGAGTAATTTTGCCTGGTTTAAAAATAAAAAGTCTCCCCCTGGTCTGTGAGGTACAAGCAAAGTAAAACCCTGCACAGGTAGCACCTACATCTCCAGCACCATGACGATGTCGGACTTTCCCTCGAAGGCGTCGACACACTGGACCAGTTTGGGGTGATGCAGGGAGTTCATGATGCCGATTTCCTGCCGGACGTTCTCCTTGTCTTTGGCCGAATACGCCTTGATAAACTTCCCAGCCCAAACCTTCTTGGTGGATTTCTCCACCAGCTTGAAGACCTGACCGAACTTCCCCCTGAGGCAGAAACGGCACACTTTACGCTGCGTCCACCGAGTCGTGGTTGCTAGGAGACGGTGGGCGGAGCCTTACGTTCCCAGCCGCTCCTCCACGTCGTAAAACTCCTTCACCTTCACATCGGTTTTGATGGTCACGTCTCGGTACTCTGGCTCTTTGTCTAAGTCTAAACACAAACAGGAAGCTTGTTGCTGTGGTTCTCATGGCTGATAAACATTGCAGTTAGTTTGTTTATGTGCAGACGGAGGCTCATACCTTCATCCTCCTCCTCTGCCTCAGCATCATCCTGGTTATCTGTTAGAGGAATTAAAACAGCAGCCGGGTTAGTCCAGTTAGTCGTTTTAGTTCAGCCTCCGTAATTCAGCTGACCCGCTAAAGCCCAGTTAGTCAGACATGGTTCTGGTTTAGTAGCAGATGGATTCAGATTAGAGTTGGGAAAATCAATTAATCACAGGATCAATTAAGATGAGCTCAATAATTTCCATCTGATTATTGTTTTTCCTCTCTTTCTACCAAAAACTGGAAAACAAAAGTCTTCAGTCTGCTTTGGCCTCAACTAGCTCCTTTTTGAATTGATAGTTCATTTTGTCGTTTCCGTTTTGTTTGTTTATGTTGGATATTTAAAATGTCGTCCAGTTTAAGTGTTTTGTATGTCAATGAAAAAATTAAAATGTATTAATTTCTAAAAATGTTTTTGCATTATTATGTCCCACTGCAAAAACACAAAATCTTTCTAATGCAAATGTTTTAGTTCACTTGAAATAAGAGAAAACTAACTCAAAGGTAACTTTTCAGCAAAATATAGGATTTTGTTTTAGGACAATAATTTTTTAATATTGATAATAAAAATACTAGTAGCACCAGCAGATTATTTCACTTATAACAAGACATTTTTACCAAGTTACAAGTGAAATAATCTGCCCGTGAACTTTGTACATTTTGATTAATATTATGGAATTATTAGCTCCTATATCTTGCTGAAAAGTTACTCATACATTATTGTTTACAGTGATAAACAGAACCTGGACCTTCATCAATCAGAATCCTTGTTCCATGGATTCCTGTCAGAACATCTACAGAAAGTTTAGTTTGAGTTTCTCACCGTCGTCCACCAGTCCCATCGTTACGGCTTCAGACTCGGCGCTCGGCTCTCCGATGCCGTAAATGTTCTGAGCTCGAATTCGAAACTTGTACTGTCGTTCTGGAAGAAGGTTCTGGAAGCACAGACACTCTGCTTAACCTCTGACCTGAGCGGCTCCTGTGTTGGGTTAGGAGAGGAGAGCCCACCTGGATGTTGTAGGAGGTGCTGTTGCAGGACACCAGCTGCTTCCACTGCTGGTCCACGGAGTCCCAGATCTCCAGGTGGTAGGTCTGCACGGCGCTGCCGCCGTCATAGGTCGGCCCGTACCACGACAGGGTCAGGCTGGAGCGCCGGATGTCAGAGGTCGCAGGGACCTTTGCTGGGGGGTCGGGTTTGTCTGAGGAGGATTTACAATTATGAATATTATCACTGCAAAAACACAAAACCTTAGCAAGAATTTTTTTGTCTAGTCTCTAGTGGAAATATTTTAGTGCACTTGAGACAAAACTAATGAACACGACAGGATAAAACAGCTTGTTTTAAAAATAACCTATAAAGTTATTCATTACATTTTTTGCACAAACTCATTCTTGGCTAATGAGATTTTTATCTGTTTTAGAGGCTCTTATCACTTTAAATCCAAATAAACTGCTCTTGGCCACAGCCTCCAACTTAATGTTTCCACTCACACATGAAAACAACTGCAAACAGATGGGCAACTGTACAACCGCACATCTTTGAAATGCAGAAGTGGAGCCTCCTGCACAACCAACAAGTGGTTTCTGGATGGTAAATCAACAACAAAACACTAGTCTTTTCCAGCAGCCATTGTACAGCACATACTGCAGTAAAACCAGCTGACCAAACATGCTGGAGTTCAGCAGGTGTTTAGAATTAGCTGGTTTCTTTACCAACGATGGTGAGGTTGAGTGCGGCCTGTCGGAGGCCGTAGCCGTTCCTCAGCTCCACGGTGTAGCAGCCGCAGTGCTCCTGCTGCCCGCTGCTGATGGTCAGCTTACTGCTGCTGTCTGTGGTCTCTATGGAGACGTCCGAGGATCCCTCCTGGATCTGACCCACACAGATACAAACACTCCCGGTCAGAAGGTTTCAGGCTGAACCAGACAACCAGTGTGTGTGAATGAGAGACTCACCGCTTTCCTGAACTTCAGCCAGGTGCAGGTGATGGGTGGAGCGCCGGAGTATTTGCAGAGGATCTCCACCTTTTCTCCTGCCAGGATCTTCATGTCTTCTGGGAACTGGAGGATCTGAGGAGGCAAAGCTGCACAAAAACACAAATAATAATTAGAAAGCAGGAAACCAGCAGGTAACATTTAGCTCAGATCCAAATGTGGTTCTGGTCATCAGCTGGTGTGTTTCACCTTGTTTGGGAGGAGTCTTTGGAGTTGGCTTCTTTATTCTGGCTTCACCTGAAGGAAACACAAACACAGCAGTCAGATGTGGTTGGGACTTTTTGTTTAATTCAGTTAGTTTTAATTAGTTTTTAGAGTGAGCTTGCTAGTTTTAATTACTTAAATTATGCCGTTACAGGAGGATTATGGAGCATTGAAATTTCTGACAAACTGCTTGTGCAGAAAATACAAAATCGATTTAACTTCAGTTTAAAGGCTAAAAACAGATTCATAAATATGAAAATGAAGGAGCAGAAGACAAAGTTACACCCATCAGTTAATCCTGTTAACATTCAAAATCTGCTCCTTCATTTTAACAACTCTGATTTGTTTCAGTTTGTTTTCAGGTTTTCTGTCTTTTTTTCTCATCTAATTTTTTACAACTTGCATCATAAATTAAAGTTTGAGTTGCTCTTCGTGTGAGAGTTTCTTCATGTGTGCAGGAGTGACGGTCTTGGAACAGAAAGTCCGACTCCATCAGAGAAAAGCAGCAGAACAAGAATGTGAGACGGCAGAGGAGCGTCTGACGACCATATAAGGACAACCTATTAATAGTTCCTCCTGAGCAGGAAGTAGCTCATGGAGTTTGTTATTTATTCTCCAGATGAAAAAGAGGCATCATCTTATGATGCTGGAGGTGAAGGCCTGCCTTCTTTCTCCATATTGTTTCTGATTTATCATTTCAGAGAAGATCACAGTCACTTCAGGTTCCCATAAACTCCACAATCAGGAGAACATCTGCTTTTAAAATAGAAGCACGAGACTTTTTCCACTTCACACACACTCACTAACTCAACCGTTTTACAAACCCTGCTGGCATTTCAATGTTAATAAAACCCGACGTGTGACAGAAGCTCAGCAAACACCTTAATATGGTTAACAAAACTTTATTTAGTGCCTGAAGGAACAAAGGATGAAACAGGGAAGAGAATAAATCAGAGAAAACTAACTCCTTATAGCCCAGATGGTGGTGTTGATGTTTTAGCATAAAAAAAACCTTAAAGTGCTTCAGAAGCAGGATTTATTTCTCCAAGTCTTTAGTCAGAGAAAATAAACTGTAAGAAAAAACAGATGAGTCCCAGATTGATGCACACTGCAAAACACCAAATCTTACGAAGTATTTTGGTCTAATTTCTAGTGGAAACATCTTAATACAGTTACAGATTATTTCACTGTTAAATTTAACATAACTAAAGCAGAGTTATCACTGAGTGAATTTCTACTCATAAATAAAAACTAAATATGACACATAATGCTTTTTAATGAGCCAAACTGATGTAAATGTGAGAACACCGCCCCCTGCTGCACACAGGATGACTAACAAGACAAAAACTGAGCTATGGTTTTCTAAAAATCTAAATATCTCCTTTGCAGAACAAACAGAACCAGAACACAGAGAACCAAACATTTCTTCTCAGCAATTAAAGACCACCTGGTTTATCCGGTGAAAATCTTAAAGCCTTCAGTTCAACGTCACAGAAACCCACTTCAGGCTTTTTTCTTCTCATTAATAATCTTAGTTTTCTTTACTGAACATCTGAAGTTGCTTAAATAAATGATGCATTGTTTTTAGACTTTTAAAGGACAGTGATTTACAGTGAGACTGAAGCCCAGAGGAACTTTTCATCAAGTTAATTGCATCCACAGTTGATTAAGAGCTTTCAAAGTGTCAAACAACTACAATGAATGTGTCAAACTAAAGGCCCGGGGGCCAAACCCGGCCCGCCATAACTTTTTATGTGGCCCTCACATAAACAAAACCTTTAAACTAACAGCTGTGTGCTTAAATATTTATCAAATCAAAACAAATTTTAGCCGTATTCTGCCAAATTACATCAATGTGAAAAAATATACAATATGGGAATAACTGATTGAATGCAAATTCAAGTATTTATAAATATTTTAATAGATACAAGTCTAATTGCTCTGCAGAGGGAAATTCAACTATAGCAGCAGCAACAGGTTTAAAGGTTCACACAAAAACGTTCTTTGTGTCAGAAACAATATAAATATATATAAAAAGATCAACAAGATCAATATATTATCAATACTTTCTGCTAGAACCTCAAACAGAAACAACCTCCAACAACAAACATAACTTTCTGCTGTGTGAAGCTCAAGCTGCAGAGATGCACTCATTTAAAAACAACAGGAAATGGGAGTTTCTGCCTGAGAAATCACTTATTTCCAGTCTGCTAAGTATTTAGACCCAAACTTGGAACCAGCAGGTTCAAGAAGATGAGCTTCTTAAAAGGAAAGCTGCTTCACTTTCAGGCTTTTCATCTGTGCTGCGAAGTAAAACGACGTGCGAGTGAAGCAGAGGCAGAGAGAGCAGGCCTTAAATGGAAACGAGGGAGAGGAGCTCCCAGCCTCCATCTTCTCCCCCTCCAACCCCGACACCGCCATCCTTCCTCTGAGGGGAAAACTCTGCAGAGGAATGAGAGTCTCCGCAGATCCGACAAGCTCAGACCTTCAGGGAGGTGTCCAGGATAAAAATACTCTGAAAATATTTCACTTATCCTCATTCAGTTCATAAATGAACTTTCACATAACTCAGTTTTTTTCCAGATGTTCATGCAGTTGAAGGAATAACGATTTATGAAAAGTGATGTCTCTAAATTGTTCAAACTGTTGTATTTGTATTTACTGAGAGCAAACAATTTCAGCAGGGTGTTGTAAACAGCCATATCACTGCCATAAAAGGACTGCAGAAGAAGAGTTCAGCTCTGAAGAATGTAACGCAATCAGTCATTTTACAAACACTGCAGGGAGAAACTTAACACTCATTATGGAACTGATGCAACAATTTCAGGAGCCAGATTCAATTTAAAAACTAAGAATAAATGCAGGTGGTTAATGGTGGCCTATTATGTTTCTTTGGACAGATTAGTATAAATGGAAAACATGTTCATTAACATTTCTCTGCACAAAATCATTCTTGGATAATGAGGTTCTAGTTTGCTCAGTTCTGCCTGGTTTGAACTCCTTTTCTTCTGTTTTAGGGCCTCTGTCCCTTTAAACTCACATGTGTAAATGGCTGCAAACAGATGAACAATTATACAACAGTACATCTTTGAAAAGCATTAATAGAGCCTCCTGCACAACCAACAACAATGCAACAAGTGGTTTTTGGATGGTGTGTCAACAACAAAATTCTTGTCTTTTCTAGCAGCCATTGTACAGCGTAAACAGCAGTAAAACCAGCTGACAAAATGTGCTGGAGCTCAGCTTGGGTTGCTAGGTAACAGGACAGTCACTGTTGCTAGGTAACAGTGACTTCTGTAATGTCACTGTAATGCGCAGTGACATTACATCTCTGAGGTTTTTGAAATGGCTCATTTTCCAGACAACATTAAATATTTACTTATTGGCGGGGGGTTATTTTTTTAAGTGCTTGGGGGATTTTTAGAAGCAGAAGAAAACCCAAATGGAAGGTTTTTTTGTTTTTGTTTTTACCAATAAATTAATTCCTCATCTAAAAACAGCAGGTTGTCTTTTATGAAATTAAAGTACTTTGATTATCTTAAACATGGAAATAAAAGCACAAACAAAAAATAGTGTTATATTTTTTACAGTACTATACATTTATGAAGGTCTTGCATTGATTTCTGGTATGAATTAATCTCCTTCAATTAAAGCTAATGTTGCAAATGACGAACTTAAAGTTTTTTGTTCCAAATTTGCAGGATTTTGCAGCAGGTAGGAAGATATTCCTGGTGACAAAGCTGCAGTTTTATACAATCTGTCATTTTTAACGTTTCTCTCCACATTAGAGCGCAGCTGAAATAACAGCAGAGGCGTTGTCGTTAGTTTACATAATGACGGTTCCATCCGCTGACCTGCTGAGACCAAATCAGGGATTCCTCAGATGGGAACACCAGGCTTGCATTTCAGACCAAAACTGGTTCCCACCATCTAAAGCTGGAAATTCTGTAAATAACATCAGTTTTATGGGGAATCAGGTCAATTTAAAATTAATCAAATAGAGCAGGAGTGATTTAAACAGACTGGAATGAGCAGGCAGCCACTGGTCCATGATGCCATCAACTATTTGATGAAAAACTTGTAAACAAATTAAACTTTATGCAACTTTATACACAAGTATAATTCCTACGATGGAGTATTAGGGCCATATGAAGAAAAAAAATTAAGACAAGAATGTGTTAGTGTTATATGTATAAAGTTATAGAAAAATAAAGCTGAAATAATGAGGATAAAGTTGTAATTATATGAGAAGAAAGTCCTAATACTGAGAATAATAAGATAATTTTTTCTTTTGAGAATAGTCACAGTACTATGAGAATAAAGTCATAAAAGAATAAAGTTGAAATATTATGAGAATAGAGAAAAAGCAATAAAACCTCTTGTATTATTTCTACTTTATTCGTGTAATTTTATTATTTTTATTTAGGATTAAATGCTCCATCACAGCATTAAAACCTCTGTTCTTCTGACTTAATGTTTTAAGAATCTGCAGTAATTTCATCTTCTCCGGGTTCAGTTTCAGTTTCTCTCTGTCTGCGTTTCCCAAACGGACCGTATCATCGGATCAGATCCTGCAAAGTGTTGATTTCTGGACGTCTCTTTGATGAGAAAAACTCTGTTAACTGACTCAGGATTTAATGCAATAAGACCACAGTGTCAGGTTTTATGCATCAGCTGCTGTTCTGTGTAACAAAATAGGACGATGTTGCGTTTTATCATCTGGTTATTCGTTCCAGCTGCAGCAGAGAATCGGACACTGAGGAATGCACACGTGCTCAGATGCACATCAAGCAGAAAGATTTAGAGTCGGATCATAAAGATAAGAGCAGATTTTCCACTCAGGCTGCAGACAGAAAACAGAAAACGGCGTCTGCAGTCATAAAACGCTTGTGCAACACATGTTTAGCTGATGCTGTGTGATGGAGAAACCGACCCCATGCAGCTTTAAACAGAACAAATTAAAGCTAATAGTTTAAGAGAAAGATTTTCATCATGGACACATGTTCACTTCTCACTGGGTCACATCAGTAAACCAACCGATTCGAAAACACAGGCAACAGTTTGGACATCCAGAGGATGAAAAGGACCAATAAGAACTGGGAAGCTACAGGAGCATCTCTGGAGTGTTTTGAATTGTCATGAGGCGAGATCTGTTTTTTTTTTTTTTTTAGTCTGACACCACCTGTAGTTGTCAATGTTTGGTGTGACATTATTGAAATCAAAATTTTAAATTTCTTAGAGAATTTTCTCATTAACTCTTAAAAGTTATTGTTGCTATGTGGCTAATTATAAGCTAAGCTGATCTTAGCTTGCCAATAAATTAGCTTAGCTAATGAAAATGTCATATGTTGTAACATTAGAGAAATGTTGGATGCAGAGCCTGTGAGGAGAAAGAACAGTACTAATGTATTTCTCCTTCACCTTTAAAGCCTCTGACTCTTCACCTACACTACAAAAACAGAAAATCTTACCAAGTATTGTTTGACCAAGACTATAGTGCAAATATATTCATACAGTTGTGATAAGGCAAAACTAACTTACACAAGTAATTTTTCAGTGACATATAAGAGCTTCTTTTAAGTCAATAATTTCTTAACATTGATAAAAAGTTCCAGTTTCACTGGCAGATTATTTCACTTTAATGGGAAAAAAGTCTTGTTATAAGTGGAACCAGTACTTTTTGGTTTGTTTCGCTATCTTGCTGAAACACCTGTAAGTTAGTTTTGTCCTATTTCAAGTATGTTTCCCCTAGAAGTTGGACTAAATTACTTGGTAGGATTTGGTGTTTTTTGCAGTGTAGATCAGCAGAGAGATGTTCCAATATTCAGAGGACGTCCACCGTTTACTGTAATAGAGCTCTGAACAATAATCTGACAGTGATTTACGAACTGATGTTTCCAACGATACACAGAGTCGCTTTAAAATAGAAACCTCCCGCTGTGTGTGTGTGTCTGTGTGCGTGCATGCGTGTGTGTGGGAACCAGTAATCCCAGTCTGTAGCTCCTTATTGGGACAAAAGGAAAGAGGCTGGTGCAGCTGCATATTTTGGAAACTCACTCTCTGAGGTCGGAGCTGCCTTCTTAGACTTCTTGTCTGTCGGAGAGTTTTCTGGTGGATCTGCAGGAGGACACACACACACACACACACACACACACACACACACACACACACAGAGGAGACTATAAGAACAAACAGCTTCACTCTTGGTCACAGTTTACATTCTAGGAGTTTTGGTTGGAAATCTCTCAGAATGAGGCAACAGCAGCTGCAGAACCTAAAATCAACAGTTAGTTTAAGAAGTGAGTGTCAATTCTGATGGAGCAAAACCGAAAGATTCAAATCAACTGAAGCAGAGTTGATGGACTCAGACCTGAGCCTTCAGAGCCACATAAAGACAGTTAGAAAGTTGGCCTTCTGTCACTTGAAGAACATCTCCAGAATTAAAGGACTAATAATGTCACAGCAAGATGTAGAGAAACTCATCCAAGCGTTTATCTTTCGTGGCATTAATTACTGCAACATGTGTGGTTTTGATTGCATTTCTTCTTTAATGGAAACACTGCAATTGCAAAATTATGTTTTTTCCATTTTAGCAGAAGACGATCCATCCTGAGCTGATTTGTCAACTGGTAAATATTCTGATGATTCTGTTACATCTTCACAGAAAAAAAAAAGAAAAATCAGAGAAGAAGAGCATCCAGCTGGTTTTTTCTTTACTTCTTAGTGAGAACCTCCAGCAAACCAAAGTGCTGATGTCCAACTCTTCATGTAATGAAGAAGCAGCTGATTTCCAGTCAGCAGTAACTGTTAGAGATCTTTGATAAATGCTGTTTGTTTGTGTTCATTTGTTCTAATTACAGGAAGCTGCAAACAAACGGAGGAATCAGGAGGAGCAGGGAGGAGACCAGAGGTTCCTGAACTGATCGCTGCCCAAACCTGCAGCTGTTCTAAGATCAGACCTGCAGCTCCTGACACACTGCAGAGACTCAGATGTTTAAATTAATGTATTAGTTTTAGCAAAAATCCTGACTTGCAAATCAACCTCGCTTTAGATTGTAAGTGGATGCTTGACAAAACGCAACTTCTTAATGGCCCTTCACTAAATCTTTATATTACTCCCTCTGCTCATCCTATGGGTTGTGAAGAACAAAATGACTCCCACAGGAAAGAGTGTAAACTGAATGAAACTCTGAGGCTAAACTCACACAGCAGGTCTGGATGTGTAATTCTGATTTTTTGCTCAAATAAAATGTTTTTTTCATGCTACTTAATTAAACCTGACCATAATCAGACTTCTGTGTGAACAGTTTACAACCCCAAAGTGACCAGCATGCGCAGAAGAAGAATGTTGATGTCACACAGCAACTCAGTTTATGGAAGTAATAGTGGATATCGCAGGTTATGGATCAATGTGAAAGTTTATTCAGCAACAACAGCTGAAAGTATTATCATGAGATTGTAAGAACACAAAGGAAGCTGTGAAAAATAAAACACAGCAACTAAACTTCTGTAGAGAATCTGTTTGGATATCAGGAACCAAAAGTGGTGGGATTGTGATGTGATGCTCCTCACTGTCAGACTTCTTTCTAAAAGTTAATAATTATGATTTTATTTGCATCCTGACTTACACCATCTGGCTTTTTCTGGTGCAAAATGTTGACTCATGTCTCGCATCGACGACATAAAAGCCAGATAAAATGTAGACGTCACCGTTCTGATGCTTTGAAAACAACTGGATACAAATCCAGTTTAATCCCACATGTGGATCTGACACAGATCGGAGTTTTTTAGGGTGAAAAGATCAGAATCATGCAGTGAAAAAGTGAATTTGGGTCATTTACCTGCTGCGTGAACGTAGCCTAAAAGGTTTTGTTGTGTCTCTGAACGATTCCCTTTAAACCACTAAAACTAGAGTTGATCTATTTTAAGCCTCAGGTCTTATTTATGACTAAAGGTGTGAGAGGCGATGAGGTTCTTACCGTCGACTAGAACCATACAGGAACACTCCGCTCTGCCGGCCGAGTTCTCAGCCCTGCACTTGTACTGGCCTTCGTCCTCCGGCAGAGCTTTGTCGATGGTCAGAGAGCAGAGGCCGCCTGAAAAACACGACAGGAAACATTTATCACCCAGAACACAGAGGATTAACTAACCAGCTGGATTTACAGCATAAAGCTGCAAATCCAGCCCAGATTCCAGATCAATAGTCTTCCAGGTTTTCTGGAAATCTTTCAGTTTTTCCTTTGACCAGTAAAAATCCAGCAATAAAAACTTTCTTAAACATAAACTCAGCACTGAGCAGATGATCAGCTCTCAGGTTTAATTTATTCTCCAGATTTCAAATTTACTCATTTTGAGGAAAGAAACAACACAATCTGCTGTCATGTTCATGCATTTAAAAATAAAAGTCACACGGAGGTATTTTTAGACTTTAGATAAATCCCCAGCAGGGTCGGATTCTAGATCATGAAAGGATTTGCTTTAATAAAGCAATGCTGCTATTTATTCATGTTTCAGACTATAAAAGTCTGAAACATGACTTCCACAGTCATTTTTCAGATCATAAACTGGCTGTACATTTTTAAGTTGAATTTATAATAAATTTAAAAATAATTTCTTCACAACCCAGTTGTTGCAGATACTTTTTATCTTGTGGAAGGAAATCCAATTAGTTCTTGATTTGAAGAAAACTAAAATCTGCTTTTGAGTCATTTTGTAAACAAAGCAAATCCAGAAAGTCACATTGAAAACCCCCACAAAATCTTACCAAGTATTTATGTCTAGTGCAAATATTTTAGTAGACTTGAATTAACTTAAAAGTCATGTTTCAGTGTGTTTTAGGTCAATAACAGTTTATTATGAATGCAAAAACATGTCAGTTACACTTTTCCACTTAAAACAGGAAAAATGTCTTGTTATGTGTGGAAATAATATTTATTTTTCTCCTGCTGAGTCTGACCCTCCCAACAGAAACAAACCACTAAATCAGCAGGAAAATTCAAACCTGAAACATTTTATGATGCAGAACAAATGAATGCTGTGATGTTTCACCACACAGCATCTGAGTTATTAATGCTGCAGGATGAAACAGTTTCACTCTAACAGGAAGCTGCTGCCTGATTCTGGTTACTAAACACATTATTAGCATTTAAAAAACAATCCATTAAATCAGTTGCACCCAGTTTAGAAGGAAATTGTAGGAACTGTTTGGAGCTCAGTCTAATCTTACATACTGAAATCAACTCTTTAAAAATAGACTCACATTCTAGTTATTTATGGTTTTAGTTTGTGTATGTCTTTTTATATCTTTGTATTTCTCATGATTATTATTTTTTCCTTTTGCATTATCCTATTTTTCATTTCAATCATTGTAATCTCTTGAAAATAGAGTTATAACTGTTTTATTTATCCCAATGCACAGGAATACTTTTATTTTCTTCTCAAGTAATGAACTTGGTATTATGATATTGTGACTATTTATGAAATTTGCTTCCTTGGGAATCGACCAAGATAAAGAAAAACAACAACAAAAAAAGCAATCTTTTACACACTTACTTTGAAGGCTGACTGATATACTGAATTTAAATGTCAAGCTTTATTCCAACTGAGACTTCTTAAATGATCAGAGGCCACAGAGTATGAATTTGTTTAGTATCCTTTATCAAACTGTGAGAAGTTTCTAAACGGTGCATTGGTTCATTTGCCTGGCATCAATCAGGAAAACCCTTAATGTTTAACCGTTATTCTAACAGTGAAACTAAACAGCCTGACAAGAGTTTTCTGAACATGTTGTTTATGAAGGAAAATAGTTCTGGATTTAGGAGCGACAACTCAACTCGACTTTTCCTGCCGAGTCAGTTTGGTCAAGAGGTTTCACAATGTCTGCATCAAAATGTCTTCGTTTTGCGAAAGCCACTGTCTGACTGATAAACTTAAAGCAGATGGAAAACTGGGAAACCCAGCAGGTTGCACAACTGAGGATGACAGAGAGATAAGTCACTTTTTAGATCAGATTTCACCAGAATCACACAACCACAAACACTCCATTAAGAACTACTTGTCCCTTCATATCATACAAGAAGATCTGCAGAGATCGGGAGCCATCCGAGACTTCAGATTATGCAGCTGGAGTTGCAGAACCAAAACGGAGGGTGTGGCCTAAAACTTGCAGCATTCATCTGTGAACTCATGCAGACACGTTGTTAAAAATCTCTTAGTGTATTTTAGTAGCATCAAATTTTAGCCATTGTAGGATTTTGCTTTTGTCTTTGCAAAAAGACCATGAGTCTTTTCTCCTGCTAGCATTAGACTCCCGTGTTTCTTTTGATTGCATTTACCCAGAATGCATTGAGCCGTAGTTTGCTTCCTGCTTTTGCAGTGATCTCCGATCTGCTTGGTGTACCAGAGTTCACTTTAACCGAACAGAGACCTGGGTTTTCAGATGGACCAGTTCACTTTTTCACTGTAAAAACACAAAATCTTACCAAGTCATTTTGGTCTAGTGCAAATATTTGAGTAGTGGAAATGAGACAAAACTGTTTTCTAAGTAACTTTTCAGCAGGACATAGTGGATTGTTTTAAGTCAATAATTCCTTAATACTGATGAAAAAGTTCTTGTTCCATTGGCAAATTATTTCACCTATAACATGGAAAATAATCTGCCAATAGAATAAGTCAATAATTCATCAATATTAAGGAATTATTGACTTAAAATGAGGTCCTACATCCTGAAGAAAAGTCATAAGTTAATTTTGTTTTATTTCAAGTGTGCCAACATATTTTCTCTCCAAGTTGGACCAAAACTTCTTGTTAAGATTTTATGTTTTTGCTGTATTGGTCCACATCAGAGTTTGATTACACATTCACACGTCCCCAAACAAATCGGACTTTCAAGACAAATGAACTGTAGTTCGATTAAAGCGGATTAAACCGATCTGGTGTAAAATACAAGCAGCTCAGACACACAGTGATCTCTGGACACAATTTCTCATCTTCAAGATATCTGAACTCAACAGCTACTGAATAAAAATACCAAATTAAAGTCGTGACATCACAGAATAAACAGGTACAGCAGCTGGAACATGTCATGCATGTGCAGTCATTGCCAGTGAATTTATATTACTGTAACTGTTCATGTTCTGACTGACAGCTGGTGAATTATATACGTCAATCAAGAGCAATAAATCAGAGTCAAACAGGTGCAAATATGAATGTGTTACAAAAGAAGGGAGCCGAGGAATGGCATGTGACTTAGAGGGGTTTAGTTTTATTTACTGATGAAGTGAGAGATCTCAGACTCCATATTTATGTGTCAATAATATCAGGTGTTTATGTCACTTTGGAATCTGCACAAGTCAAGCAGCATCTTTGTCTCAGAAGTATAGTTTTCAGATTTGGTAAGACATTAGGACTTTTCATTAGTAGAGTTGTGGTTATGCAATAATCAGTGAATAACTGCAAAGTAATCTCTATAAATGTTCTCATCCACAGATGAAATAAAAGATTTCTGACAATAATTGAATAATCGGAGGTCAATAATGAGAAGTGAAACTTGAGTTCAAAGCAGCACAGAGAGCGATGGAGTAAATGCATCTCATGGTTTAAAACCAGAATGTTCAGTTGTCCTGATGTTGTTTGTTCTGGAGCTGCTGTCATCAGTTCCCTGCTGCAAATAACAGCAACAACACATCACTGCATGTCTGAGACTGCTGTGACCTCTGACCTTCAACATGGACCACCTCAACGTACGGCTGCAGAGCTGGAACAGAGGCAGCCTGAAGGCTAAAATAACATGCTGAAGGATTACTGCACACACACACACACACACACACACACACACACACACACACACACACACACACACACAGGGAGTCCCAGGCGTTTGTAAACACACACGTGTTAAAGCTGATCTAACAGCAAATGTCCACTAAGGTTGATGGAAATGTTTCTATCCATGTGAGAAACTGACCAGTTTATATCTGTGTGAAGGTCATTAGAGGTTTTTATTTTTAAATTGATTCAAATCAATTCAATTAAGTGCAAACATACAAAATCAACTCAGTTTATAGCAATTGAATGTAATCATTTAGTCACATTTAGATCAAACTTACTGATAGAGATAATCTGTTGATCATTTAACTAGTAAAACTTTTTTCTGTCTCAGGAAGTTTATCCAGTTGATTTGAGTCGTTAACTTGTGTTGATCTGTCCTGAGGAAGCATGAGGCGACAGTAGAAATGAAGAACTCCCTCTAAACACAATGAAACCCCAAACAGAAGCTCAGTGTGACGACCCATTTTATAATTATGGATGCAGCTGTGATGCAGTTTAGTCAAAAATGTTTTAAATGTGCCAAATAAATACATTTGATGCTTGATATCTGCAGTAACTGACTTGGTTCATGTTTCTTTGCCTTTAAGGCTCTTTGAGTCATCGATCAACATCTGGGCCAGTTAAACACTCAGACTCCAGATTTCACACATCTGATAACTTATTTTGATTTGGGTCCATTTGTTTTTTGGCAGGTTTTCAAAGTTTTCCTGTTTTCTGCATTAAACATGCAGTAAAAAGCTAAAGTGATCCGAGTCACGCCAACCCAGTTCACTTTGCTTTAATGAAACTCCAGTTCATTTGTCTGGAATCTCCGGTTCATTTGGGGAGGCGTGAAAGGAATCGAACTCTGACATGAACCAAGAAAGGGAACTCTGGTTCACCTACAAATCTCGGTCTGGTTCGGCTGAATGAGTTCTACTGCGGTTTGAATGCATATGTGAACGCCAGCAGACCAGAAACCGTTCCAAATGAAGGAGGTGGACTACAGAGCAGGGCATTCTGGGTAAATATAACCAAAAGAAACTCATGACTCTCTTGCTTTCTCATCCACAAACTCCAAAGTTTCTCCACTTATAGGAAAAACTGAAGGAGCAGAAAACTGGAAGCAGCTGAAGCTGAAAACATGCAGCAGATCTCAAACAGCGTCTGATTCAGAGATTCAGGAGGACAGATGATGTATATAAAACAGCTGATGATGCTGTTTTTATTTTGTGTTTAGTATTTGCCCACTCAGCACAGGCTGGTGATTGATGCCATTACATATGAAGCTTTTAAAAAGCCATCGTTTCAAAACGTATCAAAATGTCTGTCATGTAGTTCCTTCAGGTTTAAGTAATTTTAATGAAATGCTAGAAAAACATTAAAGTAACAACAAACAAAACAAGCTGATACTGCTGATCAGCTGGCTGAATAAAAGCCAATATTTTCCTATTGGGCAGTGCTGCTGTTGGAAAAACAGAGGAATGTGTCACGTTTCTTCATAACTGAGGATGACTAAAAACAGATCAATACCAAGAGGAGAAGCAAGGTGGCGCTGTGGAGCGTTAATGTAGAAGTTGATTTAGAAAATAAGAGGTGGTTATCACACGAAGCTGTAATATACGGAAGAGGATTAGTGTCATAAATAACAAAGGGGGAATTCTGACCTTAAACTAAATTCTGATTAATCTTCTAACATTTTGATGTTAGAAGATTAATCAGAATCTTCTAACATCAAAATGTTAGAAGTTTCTTTCTCAGAAACTTTCTTTCTGAGAAAGAAAGTTTTTTCTTTCTCAGACTTCTGAGAAAGAAAAAACTTTTCTTTTTTTTCAGTGGCCCTAATCTTCTTCCAGCATAATCTAGCATAACACTGACTTTAATAAACTACAAAAAAAAAAAAATTGAAATTAGAGCAGAAAAAAAGACAGCACCCTGCTGGAATCATTTAAACCAGCTCTATGTTTAGAGTTTATTAATGAAAAAGTTGCAGTCATGCTGTCATTTGTGATGTGGCGCTACAGGTTGACCCTTCGTCGAGCGTCAGGGGTCATCTGGATGTAAACAGAGCCGCTGTAACCTGCAGGCCTGGAGCACAGTTAATGCTGCGTGTGTAAAGTGATCTTTCCCATCTGAAATAGCCACAATAATCGGTGTCTCACATCACATCCTGCATCTCTACGCTCTTCTGTTTCACATCTGCGATCTATTAATAGAGTCTGAATCCTTTGAGCTTCATCGGCAGCTGCTCTTTCTCCTCTTCCTCCTCCATCAGCATGGCTCACACCAAACTTCTAACAAACAAGCCCTCTGTCACGCCGTTGATGTCTAATTTCATTTCTGAAAGTGTGTGTGTGTGTGTGTGTGTGTGTGTGTGTGTGTGTGTTTGTGTGTGTGTGTGTGTGAACTCTGACCTTCGTTGGCGAGGATGATGAACTTGGACGGTTTGACGGTTTTCCCGTCCAGCGTCCAGGTGACGGTGACATCAGCAGCGGCGGCGGAGGCGAGGCGACACTCCAGCCGGAGCCGCTGACCGTCCAGCACCGTCACGTCCTTCAGCTTCTCCACAAACTCCGGCGCCGTCCCTCCTCCTCCTCCTCCTCCTCCTTCTCCTCCTTTTCCTCCTTCGCTCTTCTGGTCGTGAATCCCTCCATCCACGCAGTTGTTCACCTTCTCTCCGTTCTTCTCGGGGGTCGCCGCCGGCGTCGTCTTCTTCTTGTTGGCGAGGACGGAGCGGAAGTCTCCGGCGTTCTTTGGAGGCGTTTCAGCCGGCTTGTTGCCGTTGCTGCCGGCGGCGCCCTTCTTCCCCAGGACGCTCCTGAAGTCCACCTGCTGCGGGGAGTTGGCCTTCTCCTCCGCCTTCCCTTTGACGCCCCGGAGGTTGGCCTTAAAATCCATCTGCTGGGTGTCGGTGTCGCCGTCGGGGGGGAAAGCTCGGCGTCCCAGCAGCGAGCGAAAGTCCAGCTGCTGCGCCTCCCTCTGTCGCAGCTCCTCTTCACGGCGCTCCCTCGTCTCTACGCTGCGCTTGAGGAGTCCTCGGGGATCCTCCTCCTCCTTCTTCTTCTTCTTCTCCTCCTCACCAGCCTCCTGCCTCTGCAGACTGACCCTCCTGCTTTCTCCTCCTCCTCCTCCTGGTCTTCCTCTGGCTGCTGCGGTCCTGCAGAAACAAGCGCAAAGAGAGATGGAGTGAAGTAGAGAGAATAAACAAAGCCGAGGCTCCGCCTACTTTGGAGTCAGGAAAGAGGAGGATGAGAAGTTCAACTCAAACTGCTTGTTACATCACAGGTGACTCAGCTTCCCTTTTATGGGCATGAATGAACTGATCTTCATCGGGCCCATTTCATGACTGGGACTCCTCTTCACCTCGTTCTGCTCTGGCCTTGTGTTGGAGCTGCAGCTGGTTGCTTGCAGAGATCAGAGGATCCATGTGGAGGAAATGCTGGCTCTGATTGGTTGGGCTGATACGCACAGATTAGAGAAGCTTTGGGAATTGTTGGATATGAAACAGGCGGATTGATGGAGTGCTGGGAGAGCGCTCCGTCACAGAGGGACAGAGGACAGAGGGAGCGCTGGGAGTGGGATGGGTGAATGAAAACAGAAACGTGAATAAAGAATTGACTGAGGAGAATCACATCCGGCAGTTCAGATCATACTGGGTACAATAAAAAACGTGCTAACTGTATTAAAGGTGACCCATCATGCTTCCTTGAACAGGTTAGGAGAAGTTTATGGGCTGTACAACACAGTATAATTACATTTTGTCCACAAAATCATTCTTAGGGTTAGGAAATGAGATTTTAGTTCCTATTTTGATATTTTAGGGCGTCTTGTCACTTTAAATATAAATAAGCTGCTGCTGGCCACAGGCCGCAACTCAATGTTTACACTCACATAGGAAACTACTGCAAACAGATGCAAAATTACTCAATCGTACATCTTTGAAAAGCAGACGTGGAGCCTCCTGCACAACCAACAAGCAGCATGTTGTTTGTGAACAATATCTGGAAGATCACTAAATCTTACAAACTATTTTTAACTAAATTCTAGAGGAAATATCTCAGTACACTTGAAATAAGGGAAAACTGATTTACAAGAAACTTTTCAACAAGATATAGGAGCTTATTTTAATTCACAAATTCTTGAATATTGATGAAATGTACTAGTTCCACTGGCAGATTATTTCACTTATAATATAGGAAAATGTCTTGTAAGCAAAAAAATCAGCCAGTGGAACTATATTTTGCTCAAAAGCTACTTGTAAGTCAATTTTGTCTTATTTCAAGTGAACTAAGATATTTGCACTAGAACGTAGAATAAAAATGTGTTTTTGCAGTGTAAGTCAACAACAAAACATTTGTATTTTCCAGCAAGTTTTTCTAAGCTGTTTATATGAGCAGTTGAAACCCAAATGGAAATACAAAACTGAGCAAAATGTGAATTTTGCACAGCACATTAATAAACTTTCTTATATTCTGCCTGTCATTTCAGCCTGTTCTGTCACACCAACCCTACAGAAATCCTTCATCCATTAAACATCTGCTGTTTTCTGCTTTTCACTCACTCCAGTGGGATGTCTGTGGGAATCAGAGTCCATGGAGACTCCAGCATGACTTCCTCTATAAAACCAACCATCACCAGTGCAAACTACAGGAATTACAGAGTAAATGCCTAATGACAGTCCACATCCACTTTGAGTCTTTCTTCGATGTTTACCTCACACCTCACCACTGTCTCACTGTCCTTCACACAGAAAAACTCTGTCTGAGGTTTCCTAACCTTCTCCATCAGCAGCTTAGGCAGAGATTTCCTCTAAAGTCTCCTCACTCAGCATGAAGCATCACTGATAATCACTGATTATCTATCAGTGATCAGTGATAGATCACTCTCTTCCTAACCGAGCTCCAACACCCCTCACCTTTTCACCCTTTTTTTTTTTAAATCAGCAATCGGACGGTTCAAATCCTCACTGACTTGCAGTAATTTTAACATATTTCTTGTCTGTTATTGTAAAATTACCAACAGTGAATGAATCTTCTGAATACAAAACAAGCATGACTACAGGATGACCCAAGGGTTGAGCTTTTCCAGTAGATCCATGTGTTGTTGTGTTTCCTCTGTTGGGATTTTTCTGCTACATCAGCAAAAAGCTGATGGTGATGCAGACGGATTCTCTTTCACTGATCAGAGAAGTGTGTGCAAAGTATGAAAAAGTGCTAAACCTCTTCATGCAGCCAGATCATTATAATTTCACCATGTTATGTTCATACTTTTCCTCTAATCAAATCAATAACCTGAGTATTAATAACTGTCATTCAGGTCAGTCACTTACTGTAGAAACACTTGATTTTTAAATAAAATGTATTTTTCTTCACCTTCTGTCTCCTCCTTCAGGTTCTCCTTCAGTGACAGACAGTTGAGCCACAGCGCTGCATTCTCCCACTTTATTCCTGACACACAAACACAACCTCAGTTACTTTTTATTATAAGTAGCTGTTATACAGTGTTTGCCCACTTCCTGATTTCCCATCTTTTTTGCATGTTTTAAGTTACTTTACTTCACTTTTTTAAATAAACACCTTAATTTAAAAACTGCATTTTGTGTTTACTTGTGTTTTCTTTGATTAATATTTTAACTGGGTTTGATGTTCTGAAGGAATTCAGAAATTATGAATGAGCAAACACTTTTTTGACATCACTGGAATTGGAATAGGACAGGATAGATAAATCAGTAGTAAATTGGAAAACACTACTAAGATCTGAACTTGTTTACGTGCGTTAGCAACAATTTCTTCCTCAGATTAATCTTCAGATGATGCTTTATGTTGCTGCAGTCGACCAACATGAGGTTTTAGATATTTTAGGATCTAAACTCGTTTGTGTGTGTTATATTTGACACATTTTCTCATGACTAAATGAGATGACGGCGGTCAGTCTGCAGCGTGTGACAGATTACGGATATATGGACAGATTCAGGCGGGGGGAGGGAGACTTTAATCCTCCAATCTGAACCGCAGATCATGCAGGATTATTCCTTCATGTTTGCTCAGTTTCTGGTTTGTTTCCTGCGTGCAGTGTGTTAGTGTGTCACCTCAGGGTGATCAGGAATTCTCCTGCGTGATGCTTTCGGACCCGTCTGAAACAGAAACAGACACTTCGTTCTCTGTGTTCTTCAGAAACGTTTCAGGCTGCAGGTGTAAAACTTTCAGACCTGATGAGCAGCGAGACGACGTCCTCCTTCTGCAGCAGTTCGTAGTCTCCTCCGGAGCTCAGCGCTCGGTTCTGGTCCGCTCTGGTCCATGTGTACTGGGGGAACGGGTCTCCGGCGATGGCACAGGACAGCAGGACGTGTTGACCCGTGACGGCGCTCACCGCTTTGGGTTTTGTGATGAACCAGGGCTGGACGCCGTCCTGAGGTTCTGACAAAAAAAAACAACAAAAAACTCCTAAAAGCTGAAGCTGATTGAATCTGTCAGCACTTAATCTCTACAACAGAAAATCCAGTGAAAAATGTCAAAACAAGAGAAGACATGAAGATCTGATGAATAAACTAAACCCTCAGGAGAATATAAAATGTTTTATTTCTTATGTCAGCGTATTAGAGATGCTTTCCTAACGCCGTCAGCGAATAATTCACTCCTTTACTCCTACAGATGAAACGTGTCACTACCAACACTTCTTGATTTCACAGTTTAAGCTGACTTTTCTTTTTTCTGTCTAAAATCTTAAACATTTCTCAAATAGTTTTGAGGCTGTTTTTGCATAAAACTGCAGATGTTTAATTTGAAACCATTTTTTTTATATAACACATATTTGCAAAAATGTTTTATCTTGGGACACTTTACAACACAAACAGGTCAAACACTTAAATTGTTAAAATTCAATACATACACTGGATGTTTTTTATAGTTTAATAAGTGTAATATGGTAAAAAGTTTCCAGGAAGAAAGTTTGATTGCTTTGGAGCCATGCTTCCTGCTGCGTGAGCATAAGGCGACAGTGGAAACAAATAACTCCCTTTAAACAGAATAATTATGATCAGCCATTTATTTTACAGTGAAAATAACCCCTGAATCAACCTTTTTTATTATAATAAGCTGTCTAAATAGGTTATTTAGACTTTTATCTTTAGGTTTTTAAGCAAATCTTAACATTTTCACCAAAACCTGATCTAGAATTTTTTTTAAATATCGGGAACATTACAGATATCAATATTGCATATCTAGTGTGATTGACTTTATTTCAATTTTAATTGACCTTTCACATTTACAGACACATTTTTATTCATCCTCAATCGATGTTCTTTAAATGCGTTGTAACACTGACTGCTACAGGAGACATTTTTCATCACCATCTACAGTAAATCTTTAATTAAACGAGTTACAACAACATTTAGTTTTCCTAGTAATTTAATTGTTATGTGAGACCTTCCACGGTGAGCCGGGCCTGGGTCTGGTCCTCTCCGTACTGGTTCCAGGCCCGGCAGCTGTAGGCCCCAGTGTCTTCTGGGAAAACCTCCTGGATCAGCAGAGTGTAGCGGTTCTCCTCCCTGAGGAGGTGGAAGTCCTCCGACTCAGAGACCTCCTGCCCGTCATGGAGCCACATCACCAGAGGAGGAGGCTCACCTGCAGGTCAAAGGTCACCTCAGTCTGACTGCACCAATCACTGGATTATTTATATTTAAAAAAAAACCTCTAGGAGTAATTTATCAACCCAAATCAGGAAAAATTGCATGAAGAATTTAACTTTAAAATATGCATAAAATATGCATATTTTAAATTTACTTGAATTTTATCCCAAACAGTAAAAACTCAAATTTTATTTAACTTGATGTTGACAGAAAAGATTCTGCTGTTTTGGTTTTGGTAAAGCTGTAGAGATAAAATAGTGACAGTATAATGAAGCTTCCACCTTTATTACACTGTTACTTTGTGTTTTTGGCATTGGCAGGAATTTAAATGTTTATTTTCTGCATTAACTTTGTCTTGTCAATTAATCGCATAATAAATTAAAACAAGCTCAATAATTTCCATCTGAATGATTTTTTTTCTCTTTCTACCAAAAACTGGATGACAAAAGTTTTCAGTTGGTGTTTAGATGAACTTTGTTCATAATTCATTTTATTTGTTGTTTCTGTTGTTTTGTTTATTTACTTTGGATATTTAAAATATCTTCCAGCTCCAGTGTCAATTAGAATTTAAAGTTCATTAATATTTGAGAATGTGTTCCTACATTATTAGGTTGTTATTATATTAATTGAAAATGGTATCAAGACAACAATACCATCGTTTATCGCAATAACTGTGGGACAATTTATCGTCTCTGATACATTTATCATCATGACAGACGCACAGATCTCTTAAACTGAGCAACAAAAGAGATGCAGAGCGATATGCAAACAGCTTATATGGAGACAAGTCTCTGTGGAAACTCATTACATAACACACACACACACACACACACACACACACACACACACATGGGAGTGATGATAAGAGGGATGAAGCTTCAGTCTGAAGAGAAAAACACACATTCACTGCAAAAACATGCAATATTACCAAGTATTTCTGTTCTAGTTCTTAGAAAACTCAAAATAAAGTAAAATTTACTTTCCGACAAGATATAGGAGCTTGTTTCATATAAATAATTCCTTAATATTAAAGTGAAAGTACTATTTCCATCAGCAGATCATTTCACTTCTAACAGGGGAAATGTGTCTTGTGACAAGTAAAATAATCTGCCAGTGGATAAAATCAATATTAAGGAATTATTTACTTAAAACAAGCTCCTACTTCATGCTGAAAAGTGACTTGTAGGATATTTTTGTCTTATTTTAAGTGTAATAAGATATTTGAACTAGAAACTAGAACTAAAATATTTGGTAAGAGTTTGTTTTTATGCAGTTTTAAATGCTTTTTAGACTTGAAGCCACAGATTGTGATTCAGACTCTAAATAATTTTGCTGCCGTCCGTCTTTCTGCTCAGGAACCTGAACTTCACCCAAACACCAGGATGTTTTTACTGGTTTTACTGGTTTTATGAGGACAGACCAGATATTTGTCCCAACAACAAGACAAACACAAACAGAGGAAATGAAGAGGCAGAACTACAGTCAATCTGTCTTCATCTCATCTGCACCGTGTCCCTGGAGATCAGACAGGAAATACCACAGCGCGCACACACACACACACACACACACACACACACACACACACACACACACACACACACAGCGAGGGCGTACCGCTCAGCTCCACCGTCATGGAGACTCTGCTCCCATCCATCACCTTCAGATCGCTTAGACGGCGAATGAAGCGAGGAGCCTGACCTGCTGTTGTGACCTCTGACCTCTGAGACTGCACCATACCTGCAGCACAAAAACACACAAAGAAGAAAAAGTCAGAAATCGTCAAACATGACAATCAGCTGCTCTATTAGATTGACAACTTCACAGGAAAACCAAAAACTCTTAAATATTTTTGATCTAATTCTAGTGCCGATATCTTAGTGCACATAAAAAAAAGATAAAAACAAACAAGTAACTTTTGAGCAACACAGAGGAGTTTGTTGTTCCACTGGCAGATTACTTCACATTTAACAGGACATTTTCCACATGTTATAAGTAAAATTATCTGCCAGTGGAACTAAAAAAAATGCATGTTTTAATTTTTTTACTTTTGTGTAACCAAGTTGTGTGTTGCAGATTTTCAAGAACTCAACCTCTTGAAAATAAGATCAGGATCTCATAAGGATTTTTCCTGGTTAAATAAAGGAAAGAAAGAAAAAAAGCATTTTTTCATCAATATTAAGGAATGAATGACTCAAAACAAGCTGCTGAAAAGCTACTTGTCAGTTAGTTTTGTCTTATGTCAAGTGAACCAAGACATATGCACTGGAAACTAGACCAAAAATACTTGGAAAGATTTAGAGTTTTTGCAGTGCAATCATCTGACCCACGATGCTGAAGGCCACAGAGAACTGGACGCTTCGTTTAAAGGTTTCCTAACATCACTGCAGCTCTACTCCAGCTTCAATGAGCCTGTAAGTCTGAATCAGATGTTATTAAAATCAGATGTTTGACTTTAAGGCAGAACTTGATGCTGCTGCCCTGCAGGCTGAACTCAAAGGGAACTAAAGTCCATGTGCATCTGATCACTGATCAGTTTCCTCCATCATTTGACCAGATGTGTGAATGGAGGTTTCCAATCTACAACTGATGGAGGAACAGCTACAAATCTGTGTTGGATCTGATTCCAGATCAGATCTCTGGTCCCCTCCTGCAGCTTCCACAGACTTCCCACTAAACTGGGAATGTTGTCAGACCAGAGGAGGAGAGTCAGCGACGGAAAGCATCACCGTGTTCCTCACTCAGCCGTTTCCTTATAAGGAGAAAGGATTTCCTTTTCCTCCCTGCATTGGCACACAACCCAACGCTCTGTTTGCTGAGTGTGTGTGAACATGCAAGAATATCTGTGTGGCACGTGAAAGGCTGAACTTTTGTACTCAAGTGGTTCTTTTCTTCTGTGTACATATCAGACATACCAGAGAGGACACGGTGTGAAAGAAAGAAAGATGGAGACAGAGGGAGAGAAAGAAACGAAAATAGAAAAAAACGACAAAAAATGGCACAAGAAAAATAACAGAAAGAAAAATGATGTTTTTCTACTTTTTCTGAATATTGCAAGTTTTAATATCTGAAATGTTTTCCATTTGTAAATAATCTTTCTATGTAGACTGATGAACTTTAAAAGTCGTCTAAGGTCCTGGTTGATGTTCTTCCTCTTGGCCTTTCAACCCTCCACTGTTTGCTCCAGAGATGAAAACTGACCAAACGTTGGTCACAAAGCTGCTGATGAGAAATACTCAGTCACTCAATGAGCAGTTTTAATAAACTCATCTAGTTTTTAACTTAACATGTTTTTTCTTTTCAACAGGATCCACATAGTTGTATGTTCTTAACAGAAACCAAAACAAGTCATGGTCATCTTTTGTCTTTACTAGAATAAAAAAAGCACAGCTAACAGTTGCTACGCATTAACTGTTAGCTGTGCTCTGAATAAATGTGTCTGTTTTCGGGAAAAGAGGAGCTTGAGTGAATGGGAAGTCAGGAAATCGTATCAAACAAAATGGCTGATCTGTTTACTGCGAGGTCATTATGAGGGGCTGAAACCACCTCACAAATAACAAGATAATAAATAATATTTATTATTACCTGATTCTCAGGTTAATTCTCTGTTTTTGCATTGAGAAAGAAAAAGAGGAAGTGGAAAGTGACTGAATGACTGATAAGAGCCATTATGTCTGTTAAATCGTTTGGAGAAGCTGAGCTGAAAATAAAAAGTGATTAAATCCACAGCTGTAAGACACAGATATCTGTTCTGGTCTCAGATACGGTTTATTGTCCACACATGGACATCCTGAGGACTCAGTGGGTCAGTTTGTGGGAATCTGCTGATATTTCACTGAGTTTGTGTAGCTGGGGATTTCCAGCTTCTGTCAGATTTTCCTCCCGTTCTCTGATTTTCCTTATAAAGCTGTGATGAAGGTTTCTGTGTTACATGCTGATGAATGATTTCTGTGGTTCTTCATAAACAACAAATCAGACCCATGAAAACCTTTATAAACCCAGCTCAGTTCAGGCAGGAAAAATAAGAGATTAACTCAATATTGACGAGTATCTTCTTGTGCAACAATAAAACTATTGTTGCTGCTTCATATCAGGGAGAAACTCTGAATATTAAATGTGATAAAATAAAAGTTTATATTCAACTTCATGAGAAAATATTCCAACAAACCTCTCAGTGACTTTGATTTAGTAGCTAATTTATTATAAGTAATTAACACCCATGTTATAAAAAACAGTTTTATTTTACACTTGGACATAACCAGCCAATTATGATGCCTTTAAACAGAATAAAATATTGGTTTAAATAATCAAAATAACTGGTAGACATGAACCACTCTGCTTAAATAATCTATAGAACTTTATTTGAATTCCTGAAATGAAACAACTTTTTAGAACAGAGGTGTCCAAAGTGTGGCCCAGGGGCCATTTGTGGTCCTTGAAATGATTTTGATCGGCCCTCTGTCTGCAAGACAGGAACGGAAAAAATGTGGCCAACAAACTAGAAATCAACTGATGACCCAAAGATTTGGAAATTGTTTAAATGTTTTATACATCTCATGAAAATTATTATTGAGGATGTAAAAAAAAAAAGAAAAAAAAAAAAAAGAAAAATAATAAAAAAATGTTTTTGCATTTTTATTTAATGGATTTTGTGACCTGCGAGTTCCTTTCCTCATCACTGTTAGTGAATCTTCTGACCTTTGACCTGAACCCGGGCACTGCTCTCTGCTCGACCGTGGATGTTCTCCGCCACACACACGTAGACGCCGCCATCATGGCGTGATGCATTCTGGACCATCAGCTTGGCCACGCCCCCAACATGTGAGGACCGGGTCCTGGGAGGAAGAGGACGACCTGAAGGAGGAAGAGGAAACTTCATCATCTTCATCACAACAGAACAGAAACAAGCAGCAGATATCATCATGATATCAACCGATATTATAATCACAATATTCCAGAATTATATCACAACTGCACAATTTTCTTACATAGTCATGATAACAATGTTAAAATTTGAGAAACAATAAAATGCATTTATACTGTACACAATACATAAATCAATAATTTATACTGCGATATACACCTGATCAATATCAGTAGATAAAATATCTGATAGAATGTCCAATATTCAATGTATAGAATATTCACTGAACTCCGATCCAGAACTGCAAAGCATTTTGGGAGATGTAGGCAGAAGAAAGATCTTAGTTGCTCAACGACTTTAGTGTCTGGCTAATCAAGTTTGGTGGCATTAACTCACTCACTCTTTGGTTAGCTAGCAATAACCTGGTTAAAACAGAAAAAGTCAAGCCACCAGTTTATTGGTAAATCAGATGTTTAAAGGTGAAATGTTCTTTAAACAGGTTAGAATAAGTTTATGGCCGATATAAAACATGTTCATTACAAGTTTTGCACAAAATTATTCTTAGATCATGAGATTTTAGCCGTTTTAGACTGTCTTGTCACTTTAAATCCAAATAATCTGCTGCTGGTCGCGACCCCAACTCGATGTTTACACTGTCACATGAAAATACAACCATAAATCTTTGAAAAGCAGAATTGTAGCCTCCTGCACAACCAGTAATAATACAGCAAGTGGTTTCTGGATGGCAAGTCAACAACAAAACACCTGTCTTTTCCAGCAGCCATTGTACAATGAATACAGCAGTAAATTCAGCTGGCAAAAAGTACTGGAGCTCAGTTTGGGTTGCTAGGTAATAGCGATACCATTTAGATTAGGACTCAACAATGGGGCTCGTTTTCCAGACACCAAAAAATGGCTGGGTGTTCTTTTAAGCTCTTGGGCTGTTTTTAGAAGCAGTCCCAAATGGAAGTACAAAATCTGAATTTTTCATAATACTGCCCCTTTAAAACAAGAAAACTAATCAACAATTATCGGTATGGACTGATACAAAACGGTTATATCATGATATGTTTTTCAGCTATATCGTCAAGCCTGATATTTTATATGGGAGTAAGTTTGACCAAAAGTCTAACTGATGACTGTTGTAATTAGTCATCAGATAAGTTTGTTCTAAACCAGAACTAACTTAAGTTTGTAATATTTAATTGTGCAGAAAGTTTCTCTGTTTCAGTTATTTTAGCAGCAGCAGGAGGATTCAACCTTTACATCTGAGGTTTAACGCAGCTGCTGTGTGAGCAGATTTATTCCAGGCCCTCAGACTGTGGAGTAACTCTGGGCTGCAGGTGGAGGAGTGACTGGATTGGCAGAGAGCAGGAGTCCCACAGCATGATGGAGTGCAGCTCTGAAACACGGTGAACTCGCTGTGCATGCCCTTGTTGGGTCGGCCAAGCGCTCTCAGTGTGTTCCTGTGTGTGCGCTCCCTGAAGCAGCATGTTTTGTCTTTATATGGTTTCCAGCTCTTGTCCTGAAGCTGTTCAACCGTCCAACGAGAAGCTCTCTGTAAAACACGGCCGGCTGTTCCAGCTCTGAAAACATCTCTCCTCTTTAATTTGTCAGTTTTGGGAAAATTAAAATTAAACTTTTGGGAAATAAAACAAACACCTAATATGTCCTCCAATACATGCATGTATGTTTTATAGCATAACATAATAAAGCTGTGTTAAGGCCACAGTTTACTTAGAAACATTTTAATGAAGGCACTTTTATTTCATTTGAGATTGGAAATACCAACTTTTCCCTCAAGCTTCAGTGTCTCCTTTAAAATGGAAATGTTGCTGACAGTTTCCGTTGGTTTCAAATTCAAGTATACTTTATTGACCCCAAAGGGGAATTAAATGTCGTTTAAACTCATTAATTATTCAACGGTAATTGTAGATGGCGATAGCTTACTATCTTTAAACATCCTTTTGCTATCATCCTTTTTTAATATTTCTGCATTTTAAAAATCAGATCTACAAAGTTTGGCATCTAGATAGAAAGAGAATCAAATTTTTTTTATATACTTTGTTTGACTTGTGTGTGATGTTTCACAGGGTTGATTTGATCCGTCTCTCTGTTTCCATTTTTCCATTCAGTTTTTTTTTTTTTAAATCAACTCCGGTTTTCTAAAAATAAAGCCTAAAAACAGAATCTCTTTCCTGGCTTTAAACGGTTTTTCTCAGCAGGTTTCCACTCTGCTGCTTATTATCTTATCTGGATTTATGTTTTTCTTTCTGTGCTCAGCCAACATCATTCCGTCCTGTTGCCCGGCACAAACTCTGTTTAGCAAAGCAAAATGATGCTGGGAGCCAAAACACGATAACACAATATATCTTTATATAGCGCTCAATAAATAAAAAATATGAGAAGAAAGACTGTCTGTGTCTGCATGTCTGCTGCCCTCTGCTGGACACTTCAGCCTCATGCATTTAATCCTGCTGAAATGTTTCTACTGTTGCTCTGTGAGGTCAACACACTGCAGAGGAGGAAAACATGCAGAAAGAAACTACTGAGTAAATTTCTGCCAGAAAAGGCAGATATTTTTAGATTAATCTCAGAAATTTTCAAGAAAACGAAAAAAAAAAAGAAACAAGGCCCCAAAAATCTAAAATTTGTGCCAAAAATATCAGAAATGTTGAGTTTCATCTCAGAAATTTTCTAGAAAAAACACAAAGCTTTCAGTTGTAAATGTTGGACATTTGCCAGAAAAAAATCTGAAATTTTGGAATTAATCTCAAAATGTTCTAGAAAAAAAATAAAGACACAATTTCAGAATTCGGAGCTCCAAAGTCAAGAATTTCCAAGAAACAAAAATTATTATTATTTTTTTACAAAAAAAACTTGTAAATTTCTGACATTCAAAACTCAAAAATTTCTGAGCTTTCTGGCTGAAATGTACTTTTTTCTATTGAAAATGGTCCTAACACTCGGCTGTAGAAAACAGAGACCCTGCAGAATTTATTTCTGTAAAACTGACCGTTGAGCTGCCAGCTGACGCTGGGATCAGGTTTTCCCTCCACACAGACCTGCAGGCTGAAGGGCTGACCCTCTGACACGCTGCAGTCCTGCAGCTCACTGAGGAACACCGGACACCTGGACGCACCTGAGGGGAGACAATGAGACACTTTGTTCTGTAAATGGACAGGGACAGGGAAACTCTGGTGTAATGGACGTACGATTGAGGCGTAGCATCCATGTTGCCGAGGCAACGCTGAGTCCTTCAGGAGTGGTGAGCCGACACCCGTACGTCCCGCTGTCCAGCTGCGTCACTCTGTCCATGGTGAGAATCAGACGAGTCCCGTCCCGTCTCTGCTGAAGTCCTGGACCCGTCCTGACTGGGTTCCTGTCTCTGAGCCACGTTACCATGGCGTCAGCAACAGACGAGACTGAAGGCAGAGGAATCTGATCAGCATCAAATGTTAGATATTTTTTACCACATCAGTCACATAAAAATTTTTCATTTCCATGTTGTTGTTGTTGTTGTTGTTGTTTGTTTTTCAAACAGCAACAACTTTGTAGCATTTGTCTGGAAATGTGTCTGTAATAGACACAAAGTGCAGGATTGGGGGATGTTTAGGTAAAGCAAAGAAGCTGGGAGAGGAAATGAAAACATTAAAAGGAGACAATTTTATTTTAACAACTTTTCTGTTACAGCCTGAAATGCATGAAAAGTTGGATATTAACAAAGACTTAAAAAGAAAACAACAAGCTTTGTTAACTTTTAGTTGCATAAATTAAAGCGTTTGAACATTAAATTAGCCAAATAAACTCTTCTTTCCCATGTTTGTACTCTGCAGCCTCGGTTTACCTTGGCAGGTGAAGGTGACCTGGGTTCCCTCTGTGGCCTCCTGGTCCAGAGGAACCGCTTCAAACCGCAGACCGGAACCGGATGTGGATCTCCTCAAAGCTCTGGAAGGAAACGGTCTGATTGACAGCTAGCATGAAAATACGTTTAGGAGAAATAAATAAGTAATGGAGCTGGAATAGACTCAGATCATATTCACATAATGTCACAAAGCCTGCAGCTGCTCTAAAATAATTATTTACATCAAAACTCTAAACTGTAACATAAAATAACAGACAATAATTGTGGAAGAGGCTCTAACCTGCTGCAGCTGGACGCAGATGGCGCCACCTTGACTGATTGAACCGGATCAACTCGACTGGACTGAACCTGCAAAAAAAAAGGTTTATATGATAAATCAAATGCTTTATATTCCTTATTTTAACATTTTAATGCAACTTGTAGCAATTTAAAGGGTTTAAATGAAGTTCAGATGTTCTTGAAAACTAATAGAAAGTAAAAAGAAAAAGTCCAAAACGAGCGGGTTATTCCAACACAATCTTATTCTTAATTGACGCCACGTCATTGTCGAAATGACGTCACGTAGACAATGGCGCCACCGGGTGAATATATTCCACCTTCAATGTGGAAAGTTTCTGAATATGAATAATTTTGGTGTTTATATTATCATAACTTATGATATTATTAATTAAAATATAAAAAAGCAAAATCAGACAAAATTCAAATTTCGCCCAAATCAAACAAACACAATTTTCTTGTTTAATATTTTGCATCATAAAATTACTCAGTCACTTTAATATTATGTTATTATTTTTGTTTGTTTCAGGGTTTTTCGTTAATGGTTTCTAATTAGAACATCCTAAAACTGGATTGAGACTCACCATTTGTATTGAATTTATAACATAATATTTGACGTATCACTGGGAGATTTATTTGACCTGAAATGTAGTTTTACTGCTGGCCAACAGAGGGCTCTCTTCTCACTTGCTTTATCTCAAATTGACATTTAAGAGCTATTCTAATCATAGTGACTATACATGAAACGTTTATAAGCAGCTTGGTCTTGTTTATTAACGACAAAATTAAATAACCTGTTTAACAATTAAATGTTTACTCCTTTAATCCATGTTGTCTCCAGTTACCTGAGCGGCAGCAGTACTCTTTCCAGCCACATGAGGGAGCTCTACAGGGGGTTTGCTCCTCCGGGATGCAGTTTGTTCCTGTTGCTGGTCTGCAGTCGACCTGCCAGGACTGGGAGAAATGCTGCCCTCTACTGGTTTAATGGCTGATGGTTCCTCAGAGGGATGAACGCTGCAGTTTTCAACAGTGGGATGTTTTGTTTCATCTTAAAGTTTTAATATGAGGCATCCAGCAGGACAGTGTTAGTTTTGTGATTATGTGCAGAAAAAAGGCAGCTTAAGTCTTCAAACTGTGACCAACTCTATGAAAAAACAAACTCAATTTGTTATTTGCCAGAAAAAAGAGAGAAATCTCTATAACGTCTCTAGAATTCACCACAGCAAAAACATAAAATCTTAGTGCAAATATCTTAGCACACTAACTTAAAAGTAACTTTTCAGCCAAATATAGGAGCTTCTCTTAATTTAATAATTCCTTCACACTGAGGAAGAAAATACTAGTTCCACTGGTAGATTATTTCACTTGTAACAAGACATTTTCTGATGTTAGAAGTGAAATAATCTGCCAGTGGAATTTATATTATTTACTTGTATTATAAATTATTTACTTAAAACAAGTTTCAATATCTTGCTGAAAAGTTACTTGTAAGTTAGTTTAGGCTAAATTAAAGCATACCAATAGTTGTACGAGCAACTAGACCAAAAATACTTGGTAATATTTGCATTTTGCAGTCAAAGCTGCTGTATTTTGCGTGCAGTGGTTAGTGGTTACTGTTCAGAAGCGCTTGAATGATATGATCTTTGACACGTTTAACTTGAAATATAAGGTATAAAACGTTTGATATGGAGATAACATCCTGATCAGATAGTTTCAGATAAACTTTGGTGTGTTAATACTCTGAAAATGTTAGAGCAGAATGACTCAGTAAAGCAGCAGGTTGGTGAGGATGTGGAAGCTGCAGCAGGTTTATGAAACAGCAACAGGATGGAAGAGAAGTTTGTTAGAGACAGAATCGTCTCACCTGGACGAAGCTTCAGGAACACCTGAAGGAAACAGAACCAAGGAATCTTTCACACACTGAGATTCAAACTGAAGGTGGAACAAACACATAAATCCTCAACAAAGGTCTAATCTCAGTTTTTATGTATTCAGATAAAAGCAGTTTCAACATCAACAGAACCAGTCTGAGCTGCAGCAGCTCCTCTACTGGATCAGATCAACATGCAGCAGATTTCACATCAGCGGCGTCACAAAGCTGAAGCCTCCATAAATAACTTGGTGTTTTTTTATGTTGATGTTTTTGTGGGTCATATGAAGCTTCAGCTTCATATGAAGCACCTGGTTCATATGACCTCTGGTTCTCTTCTCTGACCCGTCTGACCTCTGCAGGCTGGAAACATAGAGCTGCAGGAGTGAAGACGCCTTGAACAGTAAACCATCCTGGGCTCTGATTGGTTGTCTCACCCTGAACTATAAGCTCTGCGCTGGCGGTAGCCGCTCCGGCGCTGTTGGTGACTGAACACGTGTAACTTCCTGCATCCTCCGCCTGGACTTCCTTTATCTCCAGGAAGTGACGACCAGAAAGTTCGAACACCCTGATCCGACCAGATGACTGAAGCTCCGCCTCCCCCTGGACAAACATACAAACACATAGACAGGCTACAAAAAGCAGCTTAACAACATCAACCATAAACCTCCTGATCAGAAACAGAGATTAGCAGCAGCTGGTTCTGATTGGGGTGAAGATGGCAGATGCCCAGGGCGGCCTACGGCATGTTTCTACCTTGCTATGTGTGTTTATAGTTTTATTCTCGTTTCTTCCAGAAGAAACACAGAACAACCTGTAAATTCTGTCAGCTGCCATGATTAACTATGTGCGAAATGCCTGCTCCTCTCCGGTTTTCTGATTTATCTTTTCTGTTTCCTCCAGCAAGTCGTCCACATGTTTCTCTAAGATATCTATAAAATCTGTTTTGTTTTCTGAGTAAATCCTCTGTGCAGCAGCTTCCAGCTTTTACAGTTTGTTTTATTCAAACCATAATAAAACGTTTTCAAATCCAGATTATAATCACCTGTAGACACAGCATATTTCAAATACCATCATTGTTTTTGCATCATTAATAATCATAAATTATTTCTTTCTTAATGTTTTTTGGCTCCATGAAGTTTGCAGATCAAACTAAATGTTAGAATAATTGAGCTTCTCTGTATTTTCCTTCCATAAAAACTTCTTATGGAGTAAAAACCTGATTTCTGAGACGATCATTTCTGGATCATCTCAGAAATGATTGATGAAAGAAAGAGCAACATAAATGTTTCAGTGCAGAGTCCTTCAGTTCCTCCTGAGATTAAAGACAATTCTGGATTCTGCAATATTTTGTGATTATATGTAAAGACCATTGGATCAGGACAAAGACTAAATTATCAGAAGGCAAGTTAGAAGTTTTATTTTCAGATTCCTGTCTGCAGAATAGTTTTTACCATATCTCCCAGTTTTCTAGAGTTTAACAGTGAATATGAAGAATTATTTTTGCTTCTTTTATGTGTAGTTAAACGAAAAGGTTAAAATCTTTCAGGTTGATTTTGAGGTCATAAGAATCACGGTTCATTTTTGAAAGACTATAATCCTGATTGGTTCGTAAACACAGATCTTGTTCAACATAAGCTGCATTTTTGTATGCAAAACATATTAAACTTATGTCAAAAACAGTTTCTCAATTAAAAATCACACATGAATAAGTTTGTTCATGTGATAATTTAAGAACATGCTGCACCGTGATCCTCCAACTACTTCTTATTGTTTTCCTCTTTGTGGTTTGTGTCAGTAATGACATTCAGTTGTTGATCATGTGACTTGTGATGTGAAAAAAGTGTTTTTACTTCTGTTAAACAATTTGTTTTGCAAAACAAACCAAATATTATACAGCCAAAAAACCATCTCATTATAAAGGCAAAAACTAACTATGAGGTTTTGTCAGACACTGGCATGTTTTGATTCAGTAAATTTATTTTTGAAATGTCAAATTATTCAATTATATGGTCAAAGGAAATGCAGCTATGCATTAATCATTTTACTTCTGCTCAGATTTCTGGACTTATTTTCAGGTAAATTCATTAAGCTATGAAATCCAAACATGTTTCAGCTCTCAGCCTGTTAGGCTCCGCCCACCTTGTACCATGTGACCTGCGGCTGCGGCCGTCCTGTGGCCTTGGTGGAGAACTTCCCGCTCTGTCCCAGTCTGACCAGAACTCTGCTGGGTTTGGAGATGAACTTCGGTGGACTCTCGCTCCAGATGCTGGTCCGGTTCTCCATCGCTGAGGAGCTGGACCTGGAATCATGGGAGATGTAGTCACCTCTCTGCAGCGTCCCATACAGCTTAATGTGAACTGAAGCTGTAAATAATCAGTGGTTTTATAACGTCTGAGATGTTGCAGAGGAAGCAGCTGTAGCAGTAAATCTGCTGTCCTACTTCAGGCAGCTGCAGGTTCTGAGCCTGAAGCCTCCAGAGGAGGTTCTGACATTTAATGGACCTCGGTAAAGATTTAAAGGAGCCGCAGCAGCAGAGGGAGTTAATCTGCAGCAGGAGATCCTCCAACATGACAGAGAGACTGTAGGAACTCACCCTGATCTCCTCCAGGACGGCAGGATGGACTGCTTCCCGAAGTTTTCTGCAGGTGGAAAAACATTTGACCATCAGAGAAAAAGTTCAGGTTCTGATTGAGCCGTAGAAACTTTGTTTGGACTGAACACATTAACAACAGAACCAGAATGACTTTACTTTCTATTCAGCTGCAACATGTTTGTATATTCTGGCATAAAGTTAAAATTTCCTCCTGATTACAGATCAGAAAATGAGCTGAAACAAACCAGCTGCTGAAACATGTTATATAAACTATTGTAATCGTTATAATAATAATAACACAGCCAGTTATGCTGCATGTTAACGAAACAAATTCTTTTCCAGCTGCTGAACAATGTTTTCTCAGCTGGATGCTGATCTGCAGCCCAGCGGAGCAGAAAACGCTTCACTTGGCTCAGTGGTTCATTTTCACTGAGGTATTTAATGTGGCTCAAAGTGACAAATCTCACCGAACTGAATTAGACTGAACGCTTTTAAGGGAAGTGCTATGAATGCATTTAGAGGAAAGCAGCCAGGTGAACTGCTTGACACTGACAAAGACTAGGATTAGTGATCTGCTGGAAAATGTTGGTCATTTTGAAGAGGGAGAAGAAAAAGAGATTAAAGTGATCAGCTGGTTTTCTGGCATTACAAAAACAGGTCAGAGATTTCCAGGAAGTTTAAATTCATCCAGGAGAAATTTGACTGATATTCCTGCAAACAATTTCTCAAAACACAAATAAGACAGCTAAACAGTTGCTTAAACTGTGTTTAAAATCTAAATGCAAACCTTATGATTGTGGAACTTTCCTACAAATGTTTCACATGTAGATGTGAACAGATTTTGTTTAATTATAATAAACTGGAAAAAAGCTGTTAGTATTGTGATAAAAAAAGGTGCAATAAAGATTATCTGAGGATCTGCAGTCAAAAAGTACAATTTAAAGAATGTTTTCTTCTCATTACTGTGTTTTATCTGCCACCTGATGCAATAAACAGGTGAAAATTACTCCAATCTGCTGGACCTGATGAATGTTTACTCCTTCAGGTATTTAGATAAAGACTCAAACCAACACAGCTGTAAAAAATAGAGTTGATTTATGATTGATTAATGTGACTCTAAACAGATTACAGTTTCTGTCAGATTAACAGTAAAGCTTCTGTGGAAAGAACATGTGAGTATAAAGACGAGCCAAACTGCAAACTGGGAACCAGAGGAAGGTCCAACTGGACCATAATTTACTGAGTCTTTCACCTACAAATGGCTGCAAAGTTGTGGAAGAATCTGATAATCCGATTATCTCTGTTTGCTCAAACAGCTGCACAAATTTATTGCATGAATCAAGTTAATACAAGCAGGGCAAAAAGCAATTGAGTTTTCAAGACCATCAGACTGCAAGAAATATGTAAAGTTTCCTGTAAGTTGGTCGTACCAAGAAAAGAGAAAGCAAGGTGAAGAAGGTCAGAAAATGATTAATTCATTCTCTTTTCTAGTGAAATGATGGATGAGACAAGAAGTTTTGTTGTTGCTGCTGTTTTTTAATTCACAACAAAATCTGTCTGAATGTGAAACTTTCCAACAAACTGTGATTCAACTGGCAAAATTCTAATTTTAATTCTGACCAATCAAATCATCCGAGACCTGATCAGAACATCATAAAATGCATTTTGATTACAAATGCATTGTCAATATTTCACTAATGTTGAAAAACACAATTTTGCAATTGTGGTGTTTTCATTGTAAGAAATAAAATTAAAATCAAACAGGAATAAGTTTGTTCATGCAACAAGTCATCAAAGAAAGCTAAACTGTGTTTTAAGTCAATAATTCCTTCATATTGATCATCATCATCCTTCTACCACTTCCTTTCGTCTTCTCCGTCTTGGAGTTTCCACTGCAGTTTTGTGAAATACGGCTGAAAAACCACCTCATGTGAGTTTTTTCAAAATTGCCGTGTTTCTAATTTAATTGCATTAAACTAATTTATTTTCTTATTTCCAATTTGCACGATTTTCAGGCCAACTGACACACAGCGACTGACAGGAGGATCTTCTGCTGTTTCAGGTCTCTAAGATATTCTCCTGTCATCAGATCATCTCGTTAGTTTCTACAGTTTTGCTCCCAGAAATGTGTGTGAAATAAGGACTGGTACCTTCCAGAAGGATCTCCACGGTAACCTGCCGGCTCCCCGCCTCATTGGTCGCCTGACAGGTGTAACAGCCCAGATCCTCCTCTGTGACTCCGCCCACCAGGAGGCTGAAAGTGCCACGCCCACCTCGCTCCACTGAGCAGCGGCCTCCACCAATCACAGCCTTCCCGTCTCTGTACCATGTGACCTGCGGCTCCGGTTGACCTCTGACCTGAAACACAACGAACAGAGGAAAATATCAGGTTTTCATCCAGCATAGAGGAAGATCATGACAGTTCTGGTTTTGAGTTTAGAAGACCTGAAGGAAGCGTTGTCAAAGTTCACATCAGGTTTTATGAAATGTACATTTCTCAGTAAAAGAAATGATTGATGTATGATGTCATCATGTCATATTTGTGCCTCACACACAAACTCTTAGTGTTTTAATTTCTACTTTAAATGTCTTAGTAAACTTGAAATAAGACAAAACTAACTTACAAGTAACTTTTCAACAAAATATTGTGTTTTAAGCTAATAATTCCTTAATTTTGATGAAAAAGTTTTATCATTTTAGTAGCAATCATTAGTAATAAAATTTTGTAAGATTTTGTGGTTTTGCAGCGTTCTCTTCTTATTTTCTCTAAGGTAATTTATGCATATTCCAACATAGATGATTTAGCACAAAGCTGCTCTGATGTTTGTTTTTGTTTTTTATGTCAGATCAATAAAATGTTGCGTACAGTTGATCGAATGAATATTCATTAAGATCTAATTTGCATATTTGAAACCACATCCTCTTTTTAAGCTTCAACGTCTGTCTTGTAACTTGATCAAAACATGTACAATGACGAGGCAGAAAGTTTCAAAATGGCACAATGTCTTGAAGTTTGTCTTCAAGCTGCCCTCAGCTTTGCTTCCTCTCTGCCATGCATTCAGCTGAATGAACTCAGTAACGGCTCCGTCTGCAGAAACAAACATGCAACCTGAATTTTCAGCTTTAATTGTTAAACCCTGAACCTTTAGCTCTTTATACAGAGCTCTGTACATATTTGAGATAAAATGCAGTCTAACAGTGGAGTAAAAGTGATTTATGTTCTCTACATAAAGTTTAAAAAGTCTGATTTTATCATTTCAAGTTACAGACAGTAACCTTAAGCATACGTTAAACATTGGAACAATAAAACTCACTCAGTTAATCTTCCTTAAGTATGAACAAACATCAGTAGAAAACATGACCGGCATACATTTGCTCACATTTCAACTTACTGGGTGAACAGATTCTGTAATTTATGTGACTCCACACAGCGCTACGAGTAAAACATCCCAATCTGAGGGAAGAAGCAAAAACCAAACTACAGAAAGCTGCAGAAAACCTCAGACTGACAAAACCAAACAACTCTACTCAGACTTCTCCGTTTCAGATGTTTTCTTTGAACTAATTCAAGATTTTCCAACCAAAAGTTTAAGAATCAGCTTTCCAACAGGTCACTGAAAGCACCGTCTGAACAGCAACAGCTCCTAAATTAACTTGGAAAACTTATGTAAAGTTCACATTTTGCACAGTTTTGTTTTTCCATTTCAGCCTGAACTGCTTCTAAAAACAGCCCAAGCACTTAAAAACAAAAAGACAACAAATGACAATGAGTTAATAGGTTTTGGTGTCAGAAATATTTGCCATTTCAAAAACCTCTAAATTTTTAAGTTAAAATTGACAGGCACTGCGCAGCTACCTAGCAACCCCATCCAAACCCGTTTAGTAACCCAATATAATCTACATCATGTTTGGTCAGCAGGTTTTACCGCTGTGTATTTGCTGTACAATGGCTGCTGGAAAAGACAAGTGTTTCGTTATTGACTTGTCATCCAGAAACCACTTGCTGAAAAGTGGTTGTTGTTGTTGGTTGTGCAGGAGGCTCTACTTCTGCTTTTCAAAGTTGTACAGTTACATTAATGCACATCTGTTTGCAGCCATTTTCATGTGCGAGTGTAAACATTGAGTTGGGGGCGTGGCCAGCAGCAGCTCATTTGGATTTAAAGTGACAGGACAACCCTAAAACAGCTCATTCTGAAAAGAGCTCGAAATGGGCAGAACGGACCTAAAAACTCATCTTATAAGAATTATTTTATTCTTAAACATGGTTTTGTGCAGACCTATAGCCTAACTTATTCAAAGAATTAGAATTATTCTGTTGGCTGCAATCTGCAACTTCACCACTAGATGTCTCCACATAAGACAAATAAAAACTTCCTCCTGAACCAGTTTAATATGTTAAAAAGTCAGGACTAACTGCCAACAGGTAGCTGAAACCAGCTTCACTGAACCAGTGAAGCGGAGCGTTAACTGAGGCTGACTGGTCCGGTTCTGACTGACCCATGCAGACCAGAACCAGAAACCCAAACAGCGTGAAACGGGACTTGTTTGTGCAGCATGTGGAGTACAGATGTGGCGACTGTTTGATGACTTGCAGCTCAGCGGCCAACAGGCCTTACGGCTCCATCCATCATGCCTGAGGACTGACGGTGCGTTCAGGCGCTCTGGGATTAGTCCTACATTCTTCCTACAGATAAATCTGAGGCGCCGGAGCAGAAATGCTGTTTCTAAGAGCGTTGGACCTTCATACAAGCAGGAGTGAAAACAGAGCAGACTGAGTCAGCTGACTGAGTCACAGTCAGACGGTCCAGATCTGACCTGAGAGCAGCTCTGAGTTTTGTTCATGATGTTGAGTTCAGAGGCAAACTGACGAGAGATGCTCCTCGTTTTCTGCTCCTCGTTTTCTGCTCTAACACTTTGATGAAGAATATCTTCTGTAGATTTTCAAATAATTTAGATTCAGAAGAATAAATGTTGTATTCATTTGAAGGTGTCAGTTTAATTCAACAATCTTGAGATTCATTTCAACCCAATTAAAAAAATATTTTCATAATCCCAAAGGGAAATTAAACATTGTTATAAGTCAAATAATTCAAAATTCTTCCAAAGGTTGTTGTAAAAAACAAACTATCTAAACCTCCTTCTGCCTTTAAAATAAATTTCTAAATAATTTTGATGAAGCAACATGGGATGTAATAAACTGATGTATTGTGTATTTCTGGTTTATTTTTTGTGCATTTGAAATATGTCTAATAATTTCCTAAGCTAAATAGTAAATTTTCTCTTTATATGTGAATCTTTCTGCTCTTTTTCATTCACAATTTCTTTTAGTTGTGACATTAACTATTCATATTTATTATTAAGTGAATGAACTACAAAATATTTGCATGTTGTGGAGATCATAACTTAGCAGTGATAGAGTTATTAAGAAGAAGAAAACCTTTTATTAAACCTAGAGCAGCTTTATTCTCCATCATAAACAGTTTGAAACTGTTAACTCTGAGATGAGAGGCTGTAAAACTCTATTTACATTCTGCAAAGTCATTTTCTTCATTCAGCTCTGAGGCTTTGATCTAAACTCAGAGATAATAAACATGAAGAAAACCACAAATGAGGAAGAATTAAGCAGCTCTGTTTATCAATCAGCTTCCTGTCGTTTGAACTCAGATCCACACCCACAGCGGTTTTCTGTTAAAGCGACTGCAGCTCCAGTAAAACTATAAATTATTTAGGATCATGTGATGTTGACCTGTTCCTGTTTGGGTTAATGCCTCACCTTCCCCTCCAGTCGGGCGTCTCCTCCCAGGCTGACCCTGACGTTTCGAGGCGGCAGGACGAAAGCTGGAGGTTCGTTGCCGTGGAAACCACATCCTGTGGGTGAAGCTGTGACCTCACAGAGAGACGGAGGAGCTGCAGACAGTCGGACATCACTCATCATGCTGTCAGGAAGAAACACAGACAGACGTCTGCTTAGCTATCAGATCATTTAATGAAGAAAACTTCAACTTTCATTACAAGTTTTAAACTTATATTTAACCATCAGAAACTGTCAGGGCTCCAGTTGAAGCTGCTTTCCAACAAATCAATTTAGAGTTAAACAGCATTAGGAGAAACACATAACAGGAATATTAGATTAATAAATGTGGAAAAAAAAAACAATATTAAAACCTTTTTGATGTTTTTACAGTAAAGATTAATATCAGATGGATGACTGGATGCTAACTGGCTGTTAGCTGGTTTTAACTGAATATAGTTGAGTTCAAACTCTCCCACCCAGCCCCACAAAAAAAGAAAAAAAAAACATGGCCAAACTCCTGTAAGACAGAAGAGGTAAATCTTAGATCTCTGGATATTTCCTAGTGTAAGATTTGGGCTCTTTTCATGTATCAAAATGACTCAATGCAGCCATGTTGAAGCTTCTTCTTCACCTTCTCAGGTTTTTATTCTGGATCCTGTTTGAGGCGTCCATGTTGAGTCTGTACTCAGGAGATGTTCTGATGCACTAAAAAAGTCCAGATTTACACTTTGGGAAATATCCAGATGTGCATCTCATTCATAAACCATCTCAGTCTTAGGAAGGATTCTGTCACTTTTTGTGGCAGAATCCTTCTGACTTTGTGATCTCAGAAAACTTCTAGTTTTTTTCTTACAAATTTCATAATTTATGTCAGAAAATATGTTTTATTTTACACCTTTAATCATGGAAAATTATATTTTTTTCTTGCCAATGTACAACTTTTCAACATCAGAACATAACCACATTTTTTTTTTAATATGTGAAATTCATCTTAAAATGTTATTTTTTTCTATCAACCATGGCCCCAACACTCTGTCATAGAGAACAAACTCGTGACCAACTTAGTCTTATTTTAGTGATTAGCTGAATGTTTTCCTCATGTCTGCTGGATGTCGTAGATATGTGGTTTAGTGCGGCTGGTTGGTTATTTTATCTGTATTTTCTGAACAAACAGCAGCCGCCTGGTCATTTTCCTGTTCAGACTCTCTGCTGCCTCCATACAAGGATTTTAAACCTTCAATATTTACTAAAAACAGTCAACTTTCTCTGAATGAAGCATTTTTATCCAAACATTGACCCTTGTTTCGTTTTAAATCAACAGAACAGCCTGAGTGAAGTTGATCTTCTCACCTTCTTCAAATCAAACAATATTGGTGTCAAAATTGTGCAGGATTTTTTTTGTTCTGTCATTTTAAATATAATAAATGTTTTCAGAGGTCAATAAAGGTCAACTGGCCTCATTAAATATGAAATAAAACTACCTGGGTCTCCATTAACTCTGCTACATTTGTGCTGATAAAATTTGTTAGTTCTGCTTTTGTTTTGAAGACATTAATGAAAGCAAACAAATCTGTTGTAGCGAATTTTGTTTGTTCTGCTATCATTTTAAAGGAATTAATAAACATTTCCAGAGGTCAGAGGTAAACCAGACCCCACTTTTTAAACTCAAACTAAATTGGTGTCCATCAACTCTGCTACGTTTGAGCTGCAGAAATTTCAATTTGTGATGTTTTTTGTTTTGAAGATATGACCGGCTGACCTCTGATAAACTCTGGAAACTATTTCATTAGTATCTTTAAAATGATAGCGGCACAAACAAAGCACAGCTAATTGACACCACTTTTGTTTGATTTTGTAAGGTGGGTGACTGGTTGACCTTTCATGACCTCTACAAACATTTACTAATATTTTTAAAACAACAAAAATCTTTGCTGCACAAACATTTGACACCAATTTTGCTTGAATTGAAGATGGTGAAGGAAACAGAAGTTTGTCTGACTCTCGTCATCTGATCCAAACAGAAAATAAAAACTGATTCCTGCAGAGAAGCTGAAGGTCACAGAAACTCCTCGGTTCTGTTGGTACCGGTTCTGATGAAGTCATGTGACCTGCGAACAAACAGCTGATAGCAGATCAGAAACAGTTTCAGCCTCAGATAAAACCTGATACTGTGACTCTGACTGATGGGAATGTTTGTTATCAGCAGGTTCTGTTGATTCTGTCAGAACCAACAGAACCAGGAACCAGAGAGACAGACTGAGGTCAGCGAACCGTCTGTGTTGGTCATTAACAGAGTTTGTTATCAGGATGGAAACGGTTTGCTGCTGATTCTCACACTGATCCACAAACACTGACAGCAGCTGGAAACAACAAGCCTGAGCTCAACGTCTACTGGTTTATGCTGGTTTATACTGGTTTATGCTGGTTTATACTGGTTTATGCTGGTTTATGCTGGTTTATACTGGTTTATACTGGTTTATACTGGTTTCTTTTAAATGAATCTAAAAGTTTGATTAAAGCTGCTACAGATGCAGAAACTACAGAACACAATTCAAATCAGGAGCAGCTCTCATGGTCCAGCAAAAAGATTCTGTTTTATTTCCAGGTAAACTGATGTTCAGTTTGGTTTTTGTCCATCAGGTCATGATGACGACGTCTCAGTACAACCTCAACAACCCAACCGAGGTTAAGATCAGTAAGAACCACAGCCTCCCAGTAACAAACTGGATGCAGGTCCGACCTGAGACTTTCTGGGGTCCTAAACAGATTTTAATTCTGTTAAGAACCAACAACCTGCAAACAAACATAAGATGACATGTTGGTTCTGATTTCAACCTTACAGAAGCAGCAAACAAGCAAAGATGCTCAAATTAATTAGCATTTTGAAATGCAGAGTGAGGCATATTCATTTAACTAAATGAAAGTTGTAATAATTTCAATCAATGGTCAATTAATTTAGTAGTTTATTAATCATTAACTGAAAAATACAAACTCAGAGCAGTAATTAAGGTAAAACTTTACCAAACATGTTTACATTTTGCATTTCAGATAAACCAGAACTTATCAAGCGGCAGTTTTAGCTTAATTTCTGTAAAATAAATCACCAATTAAACACATTTTAATGGCTGATTATTAAAACAGTCAACAGATCAGCCCAACACTGTATTGTTAAGTTAAGCAGAAAGATTCTCATATGTTTATGTTTTAGCTGCAGATGCTTCATTTCCTGTAAACCAGCAAACATTCAATAAAGGAATGATGTTATTGCATATTAGACAATGAAATGATTTTATCATTTAAAAAGGATTTGAATTATTTAGCCCAAACTTTTGTTGCAGTTTTATTATGAAGTGCTTAATTTTCTTGAAGCTCTTCTCGACTGACCAGTTAAACAGTTAATGATGATCAACTTGACTAAAGATCTAAACCTCCATCAGCTGCACTGAGTTCATCCTCAGGTTCATCTGAAGCTTTTCTGTCCTGAAAGCTTCCCATCATGCTGCAGGTTTTAATCAGAGCAGATTCCTTCCTGTCAGTCGACCGTTTCACAAACATCCTTCACAGCTGAGAGACTCAGATTCTGGTTCCACATTCAGCCTCAGAGATTCACACA